CGGACTGGGCCGCAGCGCGGGCGGGCAGCTCCCCGCTGGCCCGGGAGGCCGCTCGGGCTGAGCCCCCGGGGACCCCCGGTTCTCTCCGACCGATGCCGGGTCAGTGAGCTGAACTGCCCCCGGGCTGGGAGCGGGGAAGGGCAGCGGCTGCCCCCGTGCTCGGGGCGGGGCAAATTTCGGGGCTACCCCATGGCTGAGGGCCGGGGGATGGAGGGGAGTGGAGGGGACGGGGAACGGGTGCTCTTCGGTAGCGACTCCCGTCTGCTTGGGGCTTGTGAGAGCCCAGGTGGGAAGCAAGAAGGAGAGTCCGAAGGGAGCGGCCGCACGGGTCACGCTTGTGCTTGTGGTGGGGTAACCCCCTGGAGAGGGAGGCCTTTATTTTCGGTTGGTGCTTCAGACCGATTCTGCTTCTCTGACTGCGAGCACTTGGAAGTTGCTGGGAGCTGAATCGTTGCGGCGCTGCTGGAGGCTTGTGTTTGCCAGTTTGGCAAGTGCCAAATCGGGGAAGGAAGATTTACGTAGGCAAACATTGACAGGCAGTTTTCTGTACAAACAGTTCTGGCAGGAGGACTGTTACAAATGCGCAGACTTTGGATACCTGCAGCAGTGTGTTTGGGGGATGATTATCAAGGAAGCAGTTGATTTTTTACCATTCCTGCACAGCTCAAGCGACACATGCCAAAGGCTAAGCAGTGTTCGTGTGGATTTCACTAGAAGCACGTGCAGCCTGACTTACTAGAAATAAAAGGCATTGCCACAGTGAGAGAGAATTGAGACGGACGGTCCCTGTAGTTCAAGAATGCGTTTCCAAACTGCTGCGATTTATAAAGGCATATGAGAGTTGTGAGGGTGGATGCTGGCTCCATCCTGTCTGTGTTGCTGGCCTCTAAACTGACTTACACCCAGAGGCCTGAGTTTTCATTGGGATATTCATACTGCTGGAGACGTTGGAGGTGGTCGTCAGTGCTCCCCTGGCCTTACTGGCAGCCCCTCGGGGTGTGATCCTCCTGCGCTTCTCTAAAGTTTCTTTGCCACAGTGTGAATGGCACTCATTGCATTGCCCCACTGATCACATAAGGAGTCTAGGCAGTGAACTCTGAACTTATCTGCGTTGATACCTAAACTTAGGTGAGATCATCTTCACCGTAATTCCCACACCTTTCTTGATTCTTGTGGACTGTTTCACATGGGGAGAGTCACCATGACTTCAACAGCTGACCTGTGTTATGCGATAATGTGTTGACTTCATTTTTGTTGACTCTCCTCTTGATTCACAGGCTCCCATTTGCTGCCCTTTGAGGACTTGTTGTTTTTTATACATGTGCCTTATCCTTTCTTTATGTGTCTCCTTTCACAGAAAGCATTTGCTGCATCTCCTTCACATCCTCAGTTATACCAGTTGCTGTCTCAGAACTTCTCAGTGAACAATGGACAGTGAGCAGAACATGCGTCCTGAAATATTTTGGGGTCTTCCAGTTTGGTCACTCCCTGTTTTCTGCAGATCAGGCCGGAGGATTCACTTTCCACCAAGATGTCTGGTTTTTGGCACAGCTGTTATTAAAAAAAAGTGTTGTTTTCTGGGCTGAGGAATGCCACATACACATTTTCAGCTAGAAGTTGGCTTGCTTTATCTCGCACCATGGACTGTTCTGTTCAGGCCCTTTGAGATAGCTGAGGTGGTCTGTACCTCTGATGTGTTACCAGATTCCATGCTTATTGGACATTTTCTATATAACAGGTTACATCTAGATCAACTTTTAAAAATAATGCTCTGGGCTGGCTCCTTAATGGGACAAACCAAACACCCCACATAGAAACAATGCAGATACAGTTCCGAACATTGAAAGTTTCGGTAGGTTGAGTTGTACTTTGATTTGCACTCCAGTCAACAGAATATGTGCCATCCTGCCCACTTACAGCACTGATTATTCAGCAGGTATTTTATCAGAGCAGCGCTTTGAGAATGTGTTTCTAGAATTTCTCTTTTTGTGATGTTTAGATTGGTGAAGTACAAAGTACGAGTTGAGGAATATGCTGGGATTGAGAATGTATTTAATTAGCTAAAACGCAAAACAGTGCTCCCCAAAAGCAGGAAGGGATACCCCGCTTTCTGTGCGGTAGGGCAGCAGAAAATCTTGTGTTTGTTGTTATGTAGCAGCTTTTAACTGGTGAAGCTAATACGTGGAGGACTGCTATAAAGCGATTGCTCATCTCTCAAATCCAGAGATCAATTTTCTGGCTAACTGAAGATGCTCTTGCAATGAGAAATAACCAACTGTGGGCTCACTAATGTATATGCACTGAATTTTTGAAGAGAAACTGTGTGAATAGGAGGTCTGCTCAAAGGTCTTGTGCCCAGTTTTGGGCTGTGGGTAAAGGGTTCTAAGATGCGTGAAAATTTGAGCAGCAAATGGATTATGAAGTGTTCATTTTTAGCACTAACAACTTTGGTGGGGCTTTTCTTAGAGACGTGATCCTAGGGGTGGGTGCTAGGTGGGTACTGTACTGTCTTGATGTAAACCCCAGCAAAATTATTGCTTTGTCTTTTGAGGCACCTGAGGGAGTTCAGTGAAGGCAAAAGGCCTGCAGACCTTTTGGGTGGAAGAATAACTTGGGGCCAAGTGACTACTTTTATAATTCTGGTTTAATCATTCACCCCATAAAGAGGTGCCAATTACAAGAGGATGTGACTTTAAACGTGATTTACAGTAATGTTTACAATTAAGTTATACATAGAGATATCATTATGTAGTAAAAATATTTCCTATTATTTATAATAAAAATATAAACACTGCAATATAACTCTTTATAGAAATAGGTGGTTCAGAATCTTCCTGGCTACAGAACCTGAATTTTTTTGTCAGCCAGTGAGATGAAGAATTCAGCTGAAACTTGAAGCTGTTCCAGTGCAGGAAGGTTTAGTATGTGGCTCTTGTCTGGACAGGGAAGGGGAAATTACTGCAAAATAATTTGGAGAGTGGATTTACAAGCTGGCTGTGTGCTCACTCGTAATGGATGCCCATGTTACTCCACTGCACAAGCAAAATGAGGTGAGCTTAGGGAGGAAGTGTGGACTGCACATTTATATCCCTCCTCATTGCACAGCAATGTCTTATTGAGCAGACAGAACCAAAAACCTGATCTACTTACAGATCTACCTGAGCTAACCTGGACTGAATTACCACGAGATATTCCCATGGCTATGCTTGGCACAAGCAGCTGAATGCTTTTTTTTTTTCTTTTTGTCCATAGGAAAACCGTCCAATCCCAGAACCGGGTCCTGATGGTAGGTCTAGAGATGACTGCTTCTGTCTGCTTTCTCTTACTAAGCTCTTTTTTTCTCATTCTCTTTTGTCGCTCCTTGATATAATAAAGAGATAAAATATTTCTGAGAAAGTATAAAATAATCCAGAAAAGAATGTGTGGCTGAAACAGATAATGCTGCATTTCCACTTGAAAAGAAGAGCTGGAGCAGTCACAGGTACACTCGTGACTTTTTTTGCTTCCTGTTTCATCAGGTCATGTATTTCACGTTAAACAGCTCTTGGGACATGTCAGATGTTCTTGTTGCAGGACTAAATATTAATAGGCTAGGCATATGGGCTGATAGAAACTTGATTCACTAACTCTCCAGGGCTGAAACTGTAGCTTAGGGAGAAGGAAAAAAAAAATAGACTTGCTCTTTAATCCTTGGTCCAGTAATAGTTACGCCCCTCTTAGATTGTATTAGCTTTTGTTGACAGGGGTCTTACTATATTTTAAGCTTTCCTGATTTGTAAATCCTTGTATAGTTTTGTATTTCAGCGCGTCTCTCAGGAATATGCCATCCATCCTAATGTGTGCATGTGCAGTTCTGGTACGCTTCTTTAATGCTAGTAAATTCGGGTGTTTCAGTGCTGGCTTGGCCTTTGTTGTGGGACACAGGGACAGCACACATGCTGCTCTCCCAGTGCCTGAGAAGGTAAATTTTTCTACAAGTAACCTTTCTTCGTTTACTGTCAGAGGTCCTCCTGCGGATGCATTCTGTTGGGATCTGTGGGTCTGATGTTCACTACTGGCAGCATGGTCGAATCGGGGATTTTGTTGTGAAGGACCCCATGGTGTTGGGGCACGAAGCTTCTGGGACTGTCGTCAAAGTGGGATCAGGGGTGACTCATCTGAAACCAGGTAATTGGAATCAAAACTGTCTTTTTATTTGTTTTCCTGCTAATCAGTTCCCCGAGGATGTGATGATAATGGGCTGTGCTTTTTTGCTAGGTAAATTTATCTGTTCTTCTGAGGTGTGAATTGCACAGCATGACCTTCTCTTTCAAAGACTGTCACTGTGCTGCTATTAATCAGCCAGCTTGGCCACTGTAGTTTATGGTATTTCTTAGGTGTGCTTTATCCTGGGATATCTTAGGCTGGTCCGACTTTAGTTTAATGCAGAGCAGAGTGTATGCTGGTACAAGGTGCCTTTTGAAGAAGCTAGATAAAAGCTTCAGAAACCACGTATGTTGCTCTTGACAACAACCTACTGTTAATGTTTCTTCGCTGTGTGTGTTCTTGAAGGAGCAAATGGCCTCCTGCAGTGGAGAGAGGTCGCTGGAGCGACTGTACCAGGCCCCGTGGTGACCTCTACAGTTTGCTGTGCTCATGAATATTCTAGAAAATGGACTGAGCAGTGAATTTTCCAAAGTTTGCTGATGGTAGCAACTCAGGCAGGGTGGAGAGGACATGGGAGAGCTAGCAGGAGTTACAGAGAGACCTTAACGGTGCCTGGGCTATAAGATGCAGGTGGTATTCAATGCAGATAAACATAAAGTGGTGTCCATGACAGAAGAAGCAAAACCGGCTGCATATCTAAAATGATGGGCTGACCATCACTGCTGCAGAGTGAGACCTTTGGGTCTGACACAGTGCATGGGAATGTTGGCTCAGTGGTGGTGAAAAATGCAAATCAGTGTTAGGAAAGGGACAGAGACTCAATCGGAGGACATCATTGCACATCTGGAGCTCTGCATGCAGTTCTGGTCATCTTCTTTCCAAAGGGATATAAAAGAAGCGAAAAGTTTCAGAGGAGGACAAGGAGATGACGAGATGTGGAGCAGGTTCTCTATGATGAATGACTAAATTAGGAACTTGAGCTAGGAGCTGGAGAGACAATTCAAGGACACATGACACAGGTCTGAAGGCTTGTGGAGGGCAGGGACAGGGCACATAAAGGTTGCCTGTTCTCTGGTTCCTCCAATACAAGAGCAAGGGACAATGGGAGCCAGGTGCAGCATTCACCTAAGTTGTAGCAGACCTGCAGGCCTCCTTGGCAAAGAATGACGTGGATGCTAAAAGTTGACATTGTGGAAGGTGGAGGAGAAATTGTTGAGGGTTACTAAATACAAAGAAGCCACATGCAGCTTGGGAGGCCCCACAGGTGAATATAATGGGAGGCTGGGAGAACATTCAGTATGTGTCTGTCCTGCTCCTCTCACCCCCAGACATCCCCCTTTGGCCATATCAGAGGCGGCGCAGTGAGCTAGATGGCTCTCTACTTCAACCCATCCTCCTCCTTGTCACTGTGTCTGACTGAAAGCCTGTTGGTGGAGAGCTTTGCTGGGAGACTTGGCTTTGATTGGCCTCCTCTGCCAAATAAAATGGGCTGTCTTGTGTCCCTTGCAAGTACTTGCAAGTTGTACTACGGTCACACAGTTTTTTTCTTTAGTCTGTCCCGCCTCGTGATTGCAATTAAATAATTACTCTTTGTCCTGCAGCATGTGTCCTTCCAGCATCCGGGCTACTCCATCATAGCATCAAGATGGCTCTGTTCCATGATAAATCCTTCCTGACTCCTGAGTGTGCTTCTGTACCATAAGCTTCCTTCCCAAGGAACAACCCTTTCCAGCGTGGAAACCAGCGGAGCTCACCTGCTTTGTCCTAATTATTTCCTCTTCCGATTACTACAGATTCTGAAAAAAAATCTCATCACTGTGTGATTGCCTGGGGTGAGGGCTGCCTTTTTGTCTGCTAAGGTTGAGTGCAAGACAGCTGGAGAGAGGTTTGTATGTGACTGAGCTTCCATCTGCTCTGTGTCTGTGCCTCTGAAACACCGGCTCTTTTCAAGTAACTGTGAAGATCTTGGTGATGAGGCCGCCGTGAAGGAAGCGTTAGGAACTCGCCTGGTGTGTGCAGCGTGATCTTTTTCATTTAGCAAATGTCCCTCATGCTTCTCTTGTGCCAGGGTTTCATTCTGTCTTCTGTGGTTATTCAGTGCTACTCATACCTATTTGCCCACCTTCTTCCTGAGTAACACAGTCTGCTTTCACCCTGGCAGGTGATCGAGTGGCCATTGAGCCTGGCGTCCCAAGAGAAATGGATGAGTTCTGCAGAACTGGCCGCTATAACCTGTCTCCAACCATCTTCTTCTGCGCAACGCCTCCTGATAATGGGAACCTGTGCCGCTACTACAAGCACAGTGCCAGCTACTGCTACAAGTTAGTCAGTGCTCCCTCTGCAGAGAAATATATACTCCCTGGGGGGGAGGGTAGCTGAAACAATTGCCTCTTGGCCCTTTTGAGTATTGCAGTGAGCACTCTTTACTTGAACACAACAGGTTTTATTGCTTTCTGATCCATAAATAACAGGTATAAGGCTTGGATGGCAGCCACTTTGCAAATGGTTTGTCAGGCAGGTGTAGTTTATCTCCTCTGGTGCCAGACATAAACAAACATTCCTTACATGTTTCCTGGGATGTCACCACTGTTTTACCCTTTAATTATTTTCCTTTTCCCATTTGCTCCCTGCTCTTGGTTTCTTTTCTGCTGCCTTTTTATATCCTTGCCTTCTTAGGATGGTGCCTGAAGGCCTTTGATTCTTTGAGCTGAGCTAACTTTACTGCTGCTTTTCAGGAAATGCCACATTGGCTGCTGACACCTCGCTCTGTCATTTGAAACAAAGTCATCCTACTTAGAGCAGAACAGGAATAGAAAGTGGTGTCCCTGCTAAACTGCTTTTCTGTGTGGTGCTGAGTGGCCCCACTAAGCTGCCAGCATTACATATCTGTTTTCATATCCAGTTCTGCAAACTTGAGCATGTTCTTAACTGTGGCAGGACTGACATATTTGCTTAAAAGCAAGTCTGTGCTTAAGTACTCTAGCAAATACACTAGAAAGCCAAATAAACCTCTGCAACTTTATACCCACATAAGTGCATTTACACAAGGTGTTAAAAATAGTCTAAGGTAGTAGCCCCCTGAGACTGGTCTATCTCTGGGGCTTCTTCTTTCTCAGTCTGTATGGAGCTGGTACTTCCATGAGCAGGAACGTCCTTAGGATTGATCTTTGGTGTCTGCAGAGGAAGTGTTCAGGATCACATCAGTCAGAAGGAGGCACTTGAATGCTTTTCTCATGAGAGTCCTCAGGCAGGAAGCTTCTTTCAAAGTGGATCCCAAGCAGCTGCTGTCAGGATGAGATGCTGGTCTGGATGGGACTAACTTCTCACTGTCCAGACCCGCTGTCACTGATTTCCTGTGTGTTGTTAAAATAACATTTTCAGACAACATCACAAGTTTTTGCTTGGGAGGAAGTGGCTGGTTTGTAGCTGTCTTCTAGGTTTTTGCTGAATGATTCAACCCAGATGAGGGGTCTGGGAGCCCGCTGATGGGTCCCAGCCATAGGGCAGCCTTCAGGCTGGTGCGTGTGCAACTGTGGGGTTTATTCCAAAGGGAGCGAGTGGCAAAGGAGTTTTTGGCTTGAGTCACCAAGTACTGGAGAGATGATGTGGGGAAGTTTATGGGTCCCTGTGTTTGGTGCGTGGGCAAACCTCACTGGTAGATGATTTAGGTGCATTTGATGCTGCTTCAGCGGAGGGAAAGAGGCGATATAACCTCTTGAAACATGTTCCAGCCCTGCATTTCTCAGACCAAGGGTGAGAGTGTATTTAGCCACTGTGATTTAGACCCATGTTTGATCTTCGAGTGTCATGGCTTTCCTCATCCCCGTCATAAACCTGTTCGGTGATGTTGCTTGTGTCTGGTTCTTGCAGGCTTCCAGATAATGTCACCTTTGAAGAAGGAGCCCTTATCGAGCCTCTTTCAGTGGGAATCCATGCCTGCAAAAGAGCAGGAGTCACTCTGGGAAGCAAAGTCTTTGTGTCTGGCTCTGGTACGGTGAATGTATTCAGTCCTTCAGTTCTCTGCCTGCCGTGGCATGGAGTGGGATGGGCAAGGTGCACGCTGTGCTTCTAGGCTCTGTTGTAAGCGTGGGTTGTGGCAGAGTTACAGGGATGCCGAGGGGGACCTTGAGGCTGTCCTTGCCCATGCTGCACTACAGTGCTGCATTTTGAGCAGCCCAAATGCAAAGTGCAGTGTCTGGGCATGCTGAGCCTCCCAGCTCAAGGAAGCAGAGAAGTGGGTGGCATTTTCCTTGCAGAGCCCCTCATGTAGCAATAACTGCTCTCTAAGCAGCTGGTCTCACTACCCTGGGATTGTGGTGATGCTGTGATCCCAGAGCTGCCCACCTGGAAACACAGTCGGAGCCTCCTTTAGCCTAGGAACATGCTGAGCTCTGGGCATGTTCAGAGCCTGTGGCTGGTGCTGTCTGGCAGTTGCGTATGTTCTCTTTCTCCCTTTTGTACCCAGGACCGATTGGCCTTGTTAATGTGCTTGTTGCTAAGATGATGGGTGCAGCAGCTGTGGTAATTACAGGTAAGTCCTTCTTACCTTTAAGAATGTGCCTGTTTCCCACAATACAACACTTTGACTAGGTCCAAATTATTCTGTCAAGGTAACTGCTGGGGAAGGCAGCCCAAGCACAGTGGAAAGTCTGTTCATGAATGGAGTAGTAGCGTGCACCTGTCTGGAGGGAATCCTAATAAACACCTCATTCCCCAGGACAAGACTTTGATCTCTGCACTAATTGGGATCTATAAGAAGATGCAGTTGCAACTGGTGCTTCTCTGCTAGGTTGGCGGACTAGGGTAGTAACTTCTGCTTCCTAGCACAGACAAGTTGTGTGGGTGGAGTGACTACAGTGCTTCAAGGAGAATAAACCAGAGGCTAATGAGTGGTCCTTGGACCAAGCCTAGAGACCTTTTTCAGACTTGGAGCAGGTCTTTTGGGAAGAGGCAATGCATCTGTATGACAAAGCTCTGAGTTACAGAAGCTCTGCTTGCTCCTGGTGCCTCTGGTCACTGATTGTTTTCTTTTTCTGTTTTGAGCTCTTATGACCTCAGCTTTGTGTTTTGCCTTTGGCTCATAGATCAAGCCTTGATGATCAGGTTTCATCTTCCGTGTAGTGCTTTTAGACCTTGATTATATCTGCTTCTAGTCTTCACCTAGGCACACAGACCAGGCAACACAGCATATTTTATACCCTATTTGGAGCTATTCTTGGAAGTTTGCTCTGAGCAGATTTTTTCCCTCTTTCTTGTAGTGCTAGGTGATGGCCTGGACACAGGGTTTGCACAGTCGTTTCTGTGTGCAGCCACATTGTGCCTCTCCAGTCCTCCTTCGCTGCCCTTCTTTCTGTTGCCGGGTTCATTTTCCACTGATTATCCACAATGACTGAAATGGCCTTTTCAGGGTCCCTGCATTTCAGAAATGGGCCTTCCTTGTATAACTGTGTCCTGGAGGTTCCTAGTCCAGCTGCTGCTTGCAGCCATGTTTTTGTCTAGCTGCATCTGGAAAATCTCTGACAATGGAGATCTCACCTTTCTGGGTATCTACTCCAGGATTGCACCGCCTCTTAATGAAGAAGCTTTTTCTGGGGTCCACTCAGAAACTCTCATTTGTGGGTATTTCCCCTTGTCTGCAACAACTGAAATGAGTCTTTATCATCTTTGCAGCTGCCCTTCTGGTTGTTGCAGACAGCCGTTCGATCCTCCCTTCTCTTTGCCATGTTAACCCAGCCCAGCTTCCTCCACCTCTCCTGAAAGGTTGAGGCTCTTCTCTGTGTAGCTTGCCCAGAGGAATGGAGAGCTGAGGTAACCTGAAGATGTTTACTGGTTGAAATTTCCACCTGGGGTTTGAACAGGGCCTGGAAGTGGTGTTTCAAGCTTCTGTTGCTACTCTTTGATCCTTCTGAGTGGTGATGGTCGGGAGGAGCAGTTACAGGTATGACTAGACAACGAGCACAGGTTGCTGCACCGTTTTTGGGCTAACACCCCAATGTGGGCCTTTCAGAAGGCTGTTACTCCACCTCCCACAGTTCGGGCGAGGTGTATTTTTGACCTCTTGATTACTGTGTTTCCATCTTTGGGTTGAGAGACAAGATTCAGGTCCCACCCTCTTGCCTTTGCAGAAGCATCCTTCGGTAGTAGCTCATGTCAAAATGTAAGGCAGATTATTGCCTTCTCCTCCCTAAATCCTCTTTCTGCCAAGTCCAGGGCATTTTTTGCTCTGCTGGCCACACCCTGCAGGTGTGTGCTTGGTGGACATGATCAGTCCAGGCCTCAGATTTTGCAAAGCATTGTCATTTGAGGATTGTGGTTGCTATAGCAGGAAAAGCAGCTCTGCCTTTTGAATCATGTATAAGGATTGCTGCTGAGCTGAGCTGGTGCAGGGGCTGGTGGGTGACCCAGTCCTTGGGTGGGAAGGGCTTGGTGAGCTGGTGGTGGTTGGTGGGGCTGAGGCAGCTGATTCAGCCTGCCACCCCATCCCCAGTCCTGCCTGGGTGTTTTTTTCCCTGTAACACTGGGCGCTGCTGTTGCCTCTGCCTGTAGACTGCTCATGGGGACGTTTGGCAAGCAGGTCTGTATAGCATGTGCCATAGGGCTCCAGGTGGCCACAGGAAGTTCTCAGTACCTGGTTTGTAGGGCCAGCAAGCTCAGCTACATGGAATTAGCCCCTTCTTATCTTTATGCCTGGCCTGGGTAATGATCCTGACTTGTAGACATCTCCCACCTGAGAGGTGTTTGGCTGAGATGCTCAGAGACACCCATGGAGGTGCTGTCCCTAGTCAAATATTTGTACGTGTCATGAGCTGAGCAATAGGTTTAGTTTGGCTTGTTGCCGCTGGGGATTTTTCTGCCCTTGTTTTTGTGTCGGCTTTATGAGCCAACAACTGTGAGGTGACTGTCCACAAAGGCCCTCTTGTACTTTGATACCAGATTCATTGAATGCATTGCCCGGAGTTTTTTATGATGAGTTTGTCTGTGAAGAGCTTTGTCTGCTAACACTTAAGGCTTCAAATGTTTTGTTTTCACAAGCCGCACACAAATCTAGAAATATCTAGAAGAGCTTTTTCTTGACCTGGGGAGAACCCACCTCCTACAGCTTCTGTGGTGTGTGTCTTTGGCACACCTGGAGTCAAGGAATTTTGGAAAGTTACGTCTCTGCTGAGGAGTCGGGTCCCTTCTCTGGGACTCCTGGAGAGCAGCTGGCACTGTAGCTAAAGACTAATGCTTAGCCCTACCCTTCCAAAGGCTTCTGTGCACTAAAGCATGCCTTTCCTCCCAGATACGGCATCTTGCCTGATAAAACGTATTAGTGCTTCTGATAACCTTTGCTCTTTTCCCTGAAGTGCCTTATTCCTGGCAGACTGGTGTTCTCCCTTGTGGAGGGGCAGGGGGTTGATATATTTAATGGACTGCAGTTGGGTGCAGAAGATCAGCTTGTTTCATGGCTCCTCAACTACTCTTCCATAACGTCTATGGCTTTCTCCATTCTGCTGCTTGGTATTTATGGGCAACCTTCTCCTGTCCTTCTGCCTTGCTGTGGACATTGCTGTTGCTCTGAAAAGCCACTTTTCTCCTTAGAGGCATGTAGAAGAGCAGCCTTATTCCCCAATAAGTGAAGTAACAGTTTGGGTATTTGTACAGTGGTGTTGGGCTGTCTAGCCTTACTCTGTCTGTCACTAAAAGTACACTTAGTAATTCCTGCTTAAGGGAGACTATTCCCCTTGTGCTAGCTAAATCTGAAGTCCTGGGTGGCAGTGCCTCCAGAAACCCTGGAAGTCAAGGTCAGGGAAGGTGAGTAACTGGGAGAGTTCAGCTCCTTTGTGAAAGAAGATCAACATAGAAAGTGTGAGAGCTTCAAGAATATTTGCCTGTTAAGCTGGCTCATAAACCATCATGAGAAGCTTAAGTATAATTTGATAACTTCTGTGGGAGCAGAGATACAAGAATGGGCTACTCTTAGTCTGGCAGCCAAAACTTTAATTAGCTCCAGCGTCTGGGAAGTGAAAACAAATTTCTGACTAGAGGCAAGATGCAACGCTTTAATTGTATAATTGACCAGCTTCCCAAGAGTTTTGTGGGGTTCAGCCACAGTAAGGTTTAAAATCCAAACGACTTGGTCCATCTCAAGACTCAGAAGTGTCTGGAGCTCTGAACAATACGGTAAACTTCTCATTTGATAACCTGCAGATCTGTCAGCTTTAGTAAGTGCTTAGCGGTGATTCACTTAGGCCAGGTGTACCAAGATGTTATCACAGCCCTGACCAGGTCTGACAGTATTGCTGCTGCATCCTGTATGCCTCTCTGATGTGAGGACTTCCTTCCCGAGCAGGTCAGCAAACCAGAGGCCCACTATGGGAAAGGTGTGGGGTTTTCTTGCTGCCTGAGAGTGACTTTTGTGGCCACTTTGAAATGCACTGGCTGGCATGGCCTGTTGCTCCAGGACACTGCCTCTGGATGTATTTCTGCCAGTGAGACAGTATAAAATATATTAGTGACTGGGCAGGTACTATAAATGGCGGAATCCAGCTGTGTCTGCTGCAAGCTGGTGTTTTGAGACCAAACTTCATGGGGAGTTTGGTCCATTGCTGGGAGCACTGTTGAGCCCCCATGGTCTCCTTGCCATATGCTGAGATTTGGGAGACACCAGCCATGCCAGGCAGAAGTGTTTCTTAGCACTCTGGGTGCCTCAGAAGTGCCCATGCCTGTGCTCTTGCTGCATGGGAGGTCTCTGAGTGCAGCTCAGCTAGCAGAAGCTCAAGCATGACCGTACACGCAGCCTGAGGCCCAATGCTCAGAGCTTGGGAGGGACAGACGTGACTAATGCCTCCTGCAGCCACAGGAACGAGAGCCCATGTCGAGGCTTCCTGGGTGATGCTGCCCTTACTTTTCAGCCTTGGCTTTTCCTCCTTCGTCTGCATTTTATTACTATTTGTTATCCCTTCTTGAAACTCCCTCCACAGGTCTCCTGGGTGCTCATCTCAGTGGGTGTGCCCGTATCCAGCATCCTGAGCCCTCCTGCTGCCAGTAGGGGCGTGGCCATCGCCTGCCCTGGCAGTAAGTAATGTCACATTTGCTCTGTAATGGGCAGGGTAGGTCCTCTGGCCTGGCTTCCTCCCAGCGCTGGGGCTGAGTCAGAACAGCTCATGTCAGAGCAGTGGCCTTGTCCTCCTTCTTTTTTCCCTTGCTATTTTCCCCCAACCCCATCTCTGACTTTTCTGAAGACTGTACCCTGGTGAGGGGGGTATTTTCCTCTTTGTGGTGGGTGTGTGTGCTGTGTATCCTGGAGAGGAGTGGGTCCCTGCCAAAGGCATAATTTTCTGAGTCTTCAAGCCCAGGACTTCTGGCAGGAGACATTGCTCACCCCTCAATTTTGGGTCTAGGAAATCTTGGCTGTTACAGCTCAGTTTCCACCTTTGATCAGGACATCTTTTCTGGTGCCAACATGCAGGCCCCTGTAGACCACTGCTTCAGTGCAAGGCAAAGAGGTTGTTTCTGCCTGGGAAATGCCACTCTTCTTCTCTGCTGTACACCTCCTTATCTCCAGAGATGTCTTTGTCACCGGTGGTGCCTGGAGAGGGATGGGTGGCTTCCTTCCAGGGGATGTGGAAGAGAAGAGACAAACAGTGTGGCTACCTGCCAGGGCAACCATTTTATGGATCTTCAAAAGATATTTACAGTGCCATCAAGATCCCTCTGGACAGAGTACCAGAGTACAGCCATGCCCTCACAGACTTTTATCATCACCAGCTTTGTTGCTCTGTGTTAATGGCGTATCTGAGGTTCACCATGTTACCACATCCACTCCCTTTTTTTTTATGTGCTTGCCTGCTCATTCATCTGTGACAGAAATTGCTTGAGAGATACTCAACAGCCTCCATGCTGTTACAAGGAGGGTAAAAGGATGGGAGAGGTCTGTAACAGCAGGGAAACACTTACTGTTGACAAATAATGCATTCTGCACTTTGCTCAGCTGAAAGCTGGTTCATTGAGGAAGCCCTCAGACACCTCATGATCTGCTCTCATCCAGTACCGTTAGAAGTGAAATGGCCATGTTAACAATGCTCTGAACCTGACATCTTGTCGTGGTTTAAGCCCAGCCGGCGACAAAGCACCATGAAGCTGCTCACTCACTCCTCCCCCCCGGTGGGATGGGGAGGAGAAAATATAAAGAAAGGCTCGTGGGTCGAGACAAGGACAGGGAGGGATCACTCACCAATTATGGTCACACGCAAAAACCAGACTCAACTTGGGGAAAAGACAAAATCAATTTAGTTTACTATCACTCAAATCAAAACAAGGATAATAAGAAGTAAAACCAAATCTCAAAACACCTTCCCCCCAGCCCTCCCTCCTTCCCAGCTCAGCTCCACTCCCGATTTTCTCTCCCTCCTCCCTCCGGTGGCACAGGGGGACGGGGCATGGGGGTTGGGGTCAGTTCATCATACGTTGTCTCTGCTGCTCCTTCCTTCTCAGGGGGAGGACTCCTCACTCTTCCCCTGCTCCAGTGTGGGGTTCCTCCCATGGGAGACAGTTCTCCACGAACTTCTCCAGTGTGAGTCCTTCCTGTGGGCTGCAGTTCTTCATGAACTTCCCTGGCGTGGGTCCTGTCCGCGGACTGCAGTCCTTCAGTCACAGTCTGCTCCAGCGTGGGCTTTCCCATGGAGTCATGGCCATCTTTGGAGGCATCTCCCTGCTCCAGCGTGGGGTCCTCCACGGGCTGCAGGTGGGCATCTGCTCCTCTGCTCCCCTCCATGGGCTGCAGGGGGACAGCCTGCCATCACGCCATGGGCTGCAGGGGCATCCCCTCCTCCGGCACACCTCCTCCCCCTCCTTCTCCACTGGCCTTGCTGTCTGCATAGGGGTTTCTCTCACATTCCAATCTCCTCCCTTGCTGCAGGTTTCTGTTCTTAAATGTGTTATCGCAGAGGTGCTACCACCGTCGCTGATGGGCTCGGCCTTGGCCAGAGGCGGGTCCGACTTGGAGCTGGGGAACCTTCTAGCAGCTTCTCACAGGAGCCACCGCTGCAGCCCCCTCCCCTGCTACCAAAACCCCACCACACAAACCCAAAACACATGTTCTCAGTGCTGTGTTGTCCATAGCCAGGTGATTCTAGGCCATCAGGGAGCAAGGTCAGAGCAACTTTGCCTCTGCCTAGTGCTCTTTGAGAGGTATCCTTGAGGGTATGAGCAATAGCAAATAATCTTGAGAGCCAGGGAAGGAAAATGCAAAAGTGAATTGTGGGTTTTTGCCTTGTTGTAGGATCTTCCCTAGGTTAACTTGCTGAGTGTGTGTATAACGTGGTTTTTTACAGTCTGTTTTCGCTAGTGGATTAAGGTCCTGCATGAATTAGTGAAGCTACTTCATGAGTCATTGCCAGAGAGACGCTGGGCAGTGCAGTCTTGGACAGTGGCAGTTTTGGTAAGACACAACCGCACTGTTCAAACAGGGCGAGTGTAGCTCAGCACTGCCCTGTCTGTCCTGCCCTCCTGCTGCCTTTTGCCTTTGCCTGCACTGAGGTTCCTCTCTTCTGCAGTGTCAGGACAGCAACATGCCAGCAGGCTGTTCCTGCTGTGGTTCCTGCTTGCAGCATTGATGTGCATGCCCTTTGGAGTTAAGCTTAGCCTTCTGGTTTGTCTTGGCACACTCTCGGTGTTCCAGCTGTTACAAAAGAGAAATTGAGAGATTTACGAACTGATTGTTTTAGAAGATACCCCTCGAGTCTAGTGGTGGCAGCTGTTCTTCACTCAGACATTGCTTTGCATGGTGTGGATTTCATCTGTGAGTTTATGCTTTAGCCTCTTTGAAGCACACCTTCTTCTGCAGCTGGAAAGCCTTTGGCATCTCCTGTGTGTTTAAGTTGTCCTCATCTCTCATCCTTCTGTGCTTGCCCAGAAAAGTGAGCAGGTGTCCTCCCTGCCTCCTCACCGAAGGCTGCGTGAAGTTGCGGGAGGGAATGTAGACCCTTTCCTCCCCTGGTTAGGTGCTGCTGGCATCAAGGTGGTTGCATTAGGGTGGCCTACTTGCATCAAGGGTGGGAAGCCTTTTCGTCTGGGTGGTCTATGTGCATTCTTGAGAAGGTACTAGTGCACTGTAGTTTCCCACCTTGTCCTACCTCATAATAAACGCTGTCTTTGCTCCTGAGAGATTTGACAGCTGGTCACCAAAGTGGCTCTGTTGAGACATCAGATGGGGGTAGGAAGCAGATAGCAGGCTTGGGTTCTTTCTCCCCTCCTGCTTCACATAACGCTCCAGTTCTTGACTTGTTTTGTCTTTCCTCAGATTTATCTGCCTCTCGCCTGCAAAAAGCCAAGGAGGTGGGGGCAGATTTCACCATTCAGGTGAAGAACGAGACCCCGCAGGAAGTGGCTTCCAAAGTGGAAAGTCTGCTTGGCTGCATGCCCGAGATAACTGTGGAGTGTACAGGAGTGCAAGCCTGCATCCAGGCTGGCATTTATGTGAGTACCACTTATTCCCAAGGCAGAGCAGTGGTGGCATTGGCTTTTCTTCTTCTGGGATGCCACAGAGAATGACAGTTATTTCTCTCCCATGGTGCTTAATTTCAGCGGGCTTGGTGTGGGGGAGAGAAGGTGCTCGTTAGACAACAAACTAAGAGAGACAATTAAAGAGTTAACGTCTTTGCAGGCAGCATGGGGATAATTGTCTGATTTGATGCTCAGGTGCTTTACCACTTATCAAAGAGACTACAGTAAGACTTCAAAACCCAAGCATGGCTACGCAGCAGTAGCTGTAGGACAGCATCTTCCAGTAAGTTGAAGTTATGTCCAAATAAGGAGAATAATTAAGAATAATAATTCCAGCTGGTGAAGAAAGCAGTTAAGGAGGGGATGTTTTGCTACCCCAAACTGCCTAATGGCACGATGTGGAGAAGGTAGTGCAGAGTTTCACAATGAAAGGACAGGAGACAAATGGGACAAGCTGTAGAAAGAAAAATTACAGTGAAGCATCAGGCTTTTAGTTTTATATCTCTCCCATTGAAATCCAAAAGTACTTTTCATACTCCTAAGGGCCAGTCGTTTTTCAGAATGAGATTTAGATCCCAAAATCTTTCAGAGATTTTTGAAAGATTGCTTTTTAAGCCTTGTTTATTGCATGTTTCATGCTTACGGGCTCCTGACAGTATCCTGCCTCTCCCCTGGCTTCTCTGCGGTGCCCTGGGCAGTTCATTACAGCCACAAGACTGCTGTCCAGGCTCTGGTGACTGTTTGGCAAAATATAACGTATTTGTGTGTTTGTTCTCTAGGCCACTCGGTCTGGTGGGACCTTGGTGCTGGTGGGGCTGGGGCCTGAGATGGTCACTGTGCCCATCGTGAATGCTGCCGTGCGGGAGGTGGATATCCGGGGGATATTCCGCTACTGCAACACGTGAGTCTTGTGCAGCGTGGGGTGATGTGTCTCCAAGTCTGTCCTTAAGAAATTCCTGCTTTCCACAAGGAGAGGATATGGAAAAGGCTGGTTTTCCTTACAGTTGGTTAAACCATATGTCACTCTGAAATGCCAATGCTGCAGTGCAGGCAGTCTGACTGATGTGTCCTGCATTTTATGCCTTGGTTCCTGGATGAGCCCTGCACTGCAAACTTGACCACAACAAAGCAGCCCAGCTGGGTTGTCCCACTGTCCCATTTAATGGATTTGGTGTAAAGAAAGGAAGAGACCAAATAAACCCTTACTCTGCTGCAAGCAAGCAGGCCAAAATGGGAAAAAAAAATCATAATTAACATTTGTGCCTTCAGCTGTTATGACCTATAGAAAGGGAAGGCCAGGTGCTGGGGCTGTTTTGGAAGAGACTGGCTTGTCTAAAAGTGTGCTGGCTCATGGCACAGCAGGGGGGAACACACAGCTTTTAGCTGCTTCAACCCCTTGTGCTGGGAGATCTCTAAGCAGCAGCTTGGCCCGGCCCTGACCCTACACACTGCTTTGTGAAAAGCTGGCTGCCTCCTGGCATCCACCTTCCTAACTGTTACATTGTCCATTTTGAGGCAAAGGATATGGGGAATCTTAATTCTGGGCAAAGAGTCAAAATCCCAGGTGCCACATTCTATGCCAAGCCATGCCCAGCTCTGCTCTCCTTGCTCTTCATGGAAGGAAATCACATTGTCAGTCTTGTTGGAGATCAGCGGATGCTGGGATGAGCAAGAGCCTTGTTTAGTTTTGATCATTTTGCTGGAGCTGAAGATACATCTGGAGCCAGTCTGAAGGCATGTGTGCTCTCTACAGAGAAGTGAACTGCATGGCTCGTGGACAGACAGGTCTTTGAGTGTACTGAAAGCTGGTACCCTGAACGCAGGAGAAGCTCAGCTTCCTCTATTTGATCTTGTACTCCTTGGGCAGGGCTTTAGACCCAGCATTGCGTGTTTACAGCCTAGTTTCTGCTCTGTTCAGAGCTGTAGTTTCTTGCTAGTGGAGCAAGAATCTTTGCTTAGTCTGTAGAGGTTGTTTTCCAGGAAGGATTTATGAGATGTAGTCATGCTCCTTCTTAAAATAAGAAATGTCTTTAAGTAAGAATTAGATTAGCTGCTGCATCCCTGTGTATCCCCATCACTCCAATTTGGCCCATTCAAATGGAGTGGCAAGGCAATCAAATTGAGCAAGTCTCTGCCAGAAAAGAGGTTGGAAGCTGACTGAGGCTTTTCCTTTCTTCTCCCTGCACCAAGTCGGTGAGTTTGAACTCCACAGTGATCAGTCTGCAAGCAAGGAGGCTGGACGAGAGGAGAGCGGCGCACAGCAGTTTTGTTTTTCATTCGGGGCTTCAGAAGTACAGTTATTTCCTGTGATTTTTCACTTACTTGGCCTCCTGCAGGTGAAGCACAGCCTACTGTCTCACTATCTGTGTATAGCAGTGCCTGCCTTCCTGGTGCTTGACAGCCCAAAGCAGTTGGCTTGTCCCATCTCCTCTGCCTGATGCTTGAGGACCCGCCTCCAGAAGACTGCAGGCAAAACTCCCCTTGGTTGCCTGGGCTAACGAAATTACTGTAATGAAACCAGGCTCCTCCTTGCTCTTTCCTTGGGGCTCCAAACTGGTGACTGCTCTCATCTCCTGCTCTCTGTTTCCCTTGCAGGTGGCCTGTGGCAATTGCTCTGCTTGCATCCAAGCGGATCAACGTCAAGCCTTTGGTTACGCACCGCTTCCCCCTGGAAAAGGCTCTTGAGGCGTTTGAGACCACCAAGAGGGGTGAGGGGGTCAAGGTCATGCTGAAGTGTGACCCCACTGACCACAACCCCTAAGCTGCTGCAGTGCCTGGCCCTCTCTCCCGTTACACCGCCTGCCTGAGATGCGAAGCATGAGGCCGCAGGAGGCTGATGTACGGCTGTTGCATGTTTACAGTCACCTTATGCAGGCGCTGCTTTGTAATCACAGCTAGAAAATCAAACGATTGTAAGGGTGAATGGCACTGAGGGATACATCATTAGAATATTAACAGGTAACTACACATGGAGAACCAATAGGGAATAGTTTGAATCAAAACACTGCTGTTTGGTTAGAGACGATGGTTCACACAGTTGGCTCTTCTCTGGCAGACCCCACGCGGAGAAGAGCTGGAGTGTCTCTGCATGTATTGGGTAGAGCTGCCTGTGGGGCCGTGGGTTTTGTCCATGCAGATGTGCTGGGGGAGAGCGTCACCAGCTGCATGGGTGAAGCGAGGATGGAGATGCTGGCGCTCCACCTTCCCGCCCCAGCACTGCCCTGGGGCTGTGCTTGCCGCAGCTCTTCCCATGTGGCAATCCCTGGGCGTCAGATAGCCCTTATATGAGTACTCTCCCTTCCAGTTGCACCTTCCCTCGGGGATGCTCAGGGACTGTAACAGCCTGTGGAACAAAGCCTGGCCAGCCCACCTCTATGGGAAGCATCTGCACATTCAGGTCATTCTCTCCATGCTCTTTGCAAATAGCAATCTGTGGGCCCAAAGCTCAGAGCTTGCGGCTTTTTTGAAGAAGCTAGTCTGGAAGCCAGCTGGGACCATTATCTGCTGTGTCATCTTCCCCAGCAGCTCTCCATGGGGCAGAAGGACCGCTGCAGAGCAAGCTGCAGTGTGTTTGCAAGGAAGCTACCCTGTTTCTGGCTGGGACCGCAGAGAGCCCTGTCCTTTTGTGGCTCCCAAGGTGGGGCTGCTGTGGTGGGGCACGGCTCGGTTCTAGTGTGGAGGGGAGCGCAGGTGAGAAGTAAGGGGACAGCATCATGCAAAGGTTTTACCACTGCAAATGAATTGTAACTTTTCAGGGATATCAGGCCTTCCTGCTGAGTTTGTGAGCCATGAATGAGGTACTAACGAGGTGGCAGGTTGCAGGTAACAAAATCTAATCTTTGATTACAGTCATGTTAATTTTAGTGCTGAGAGATCAGTCCCTTTCTTGGGCTGGTACTGTACTTTTGTCAGTAAATGCTACCTACCTGATGTGTCTGTGTCCATTAAAGTGTTGGGTGGATGATTTGAAGGGGTCTGTGACTTCGGGCCCTGGGGACTGTGCAGACCACTGGGCTGTTGAGCGGCTGGGTCTTGCCAGGCTGCAAGTGAGCTTGGTGCTGGCAGGACCATGAAACCTTAAATGACCCAACCGCTTGCAAATCAAAGCTTGTCTTTATTGCAGAGGTGGCTTGTCTTGGCAGAGGTAGAAGCCTGCAAGTCCATGCTGTGTTTTACAGGGCTAAGACATAACCCAGTGCAACTTTCTGTAGCCAGAAGGAGAAGCGGTCACAGTACTGCTCAGAGTAAAGTGGGTTGTTAATGTGTCAGCCTAAGCAGGTAAAACCTACCTGGGAGCCTGGCCCCATAATTGGATGCGGTGTTAGCAGAGCCTGTGCAAGAATTGCTAAACTGCACCTTGCTGAAGGGTGTGTGGTGGCTGCGGGAGGGAAAGGCTGCCCAGCTTTCAGCAGTGGGTGTGAGCCGGGGCTTCTTGCTGAGCACTGGGACTCTCCTAGCTCCTGACTCTCATGCTGGGGGGAGCCCCACTGGCATGGCTGGGGGACCACTGGCCATCACAAGACACTGTTATTACTGGGAAATGGAGACCTACTCCCTGTGGTCTTGGGTGGCTCTTAAACACTCACGGCTCAGCCTCTTTGGGCTCCTTGGCTGTAATTTGCTCCCACACCAGGTCTTGCTTGGGCCATTGCCGCTGTGGGGGCATTGCTGGGGGTGATGGGTCTGGTAGGACATGGTCTGTGCCTGGGCTCAAACCTGCATTCCCCCTTCCACCCAACGTACATCACCAGTGGAGGGGAAACTCACTCCTGTGTAACCCATTTCCCAGGGGGCTGGCATAAATATTCCATAACAGGAGCAATGGCCCAAGTATTGCAAGTCTCCAGGTGACTGAGACCCAACTACAGGAGGCAATAAAGTGTTTTAAAACATCAATCAGCTTTATTTAAATTCTATCACAGCCTGTGAGAGTGGCAGCCCAGCAATGCAAAGCCAGGCATTAGTTAAACCAGCGCAAATGATCCCTGATCAAAGGATGGTGACACTGCTGAAAGAAGCCAACGCCAACAAAACTGAGGCCCTATACAAACCTAGGGAAAGCTCAGAGTCCTAACGAGCAGGCACAAACAAATGCATTAGGAAAGCTGAGCCTGTTTCAAGGAGAGGGATGGTGGGCAGCTCTCTGGCTCCTCACCCTATGTGCGTGCCACCCAGGTCTCGAGGCAAAGTGCTGTGAATTCAAGTTGTGCAGGCACCAAGCTGTTCCCCAGAGCTGTTCAGAGACATTCCCCGAGCCACTTGGCAGAGCATGAGCTCTTGTGGGATTAAGGTGGCAGAATTGGGCTTAACTTGAACACTGGGTTTTCTGCATTGGGACACCCCAGCCCGACCCTGGGTGTGGGGCTGCAGGAGTGTGTGGATGGTAGCAGGATGCCCTGGGCTCACACTAGGGCTGTGTGGGGTGACACTGGCTTGGCAATGGTTTACTGGTGCACTGTGTGCTCGTCTCAGCATCCATGTTCTTGGCCATGGATGGCTTTCTCCCAGGGATGCTGTTGGGTGAGAGCCCAGGACCGTGACCACCCAAAGCATTGCCACACAGGTGCTGGGGTTGAACACACATTTCCAATGAAGACTGCAGCCCGGGGGTGAAACAGCATGGGGTAGGGTCAGAAATTCTCATAGTGATGTGCAAAGTAGGTCTGGTCCTTCTTGTTCAGCTGCTGGCAAGCCTTTTCCACACTCTTTGTCATCCCGGGTGGGCCACAGCTGAACACCCCTATCTTCTGCACCTGGGGAAGGAGGGAGGCAAACAGGTCAAACTCAGCAGCAGCACCAGTTCTCCCCCCAGTCCAGCCCCACCTTGGCCCCTTGCCCTGTGGCAGCTTTGAGCACAGATGCTGACTGAGCAGTCTGTCCCAGCCTGAGGAGGTTTTTGGGGAGGTTGTCACTTCCCCATGGAGCTGCTGAGGCCATGGAGGAAGGATGGGATCCCCCAGGGTCTCTGCCAGCTCTGGACAGTGACTGCAGCTGGGGTCTCACCATAGCAGGGGGTGTTTGTCTGGTATGGGGCATTGCTGACTCTTGCAGCTCATCCTGGCTCCAGAGGGAAAGTGGAGTTCATGCCCCTTCAGGGCAGAAGGGGCCTTTATTACCACCAAGATCTCCAGGGCCTCAGGGACAGACTGGGACCAGTCCTCCACACTGGCTGGTGGGTGCCCCTCCTCCTGTCCCCAGCTGGGCACTGACCTCGGGGTGCACCTCCTGCAGTGAGCTGAAGAAGGGTATGAAGGGAGGGCGCCCAAAATGGGTGATGGAGCGCAGCCCTGTGAAGAGGCTCTTGTTCAGCACCTTCTGGAAGTGCCGCTCGCAGATGTACTGGAAGAGAAATCAGTGCACATCAGATGGCCCAGCATGGCCCAGCACAGCATGGCAGCCTCCTCAGCAGGTAGCCAGGCTCACCAGCATGGTGGTGCGCAGATCGAACTTCTCGGCCAGCTGTGTGATGTAGATGTGCACAGAGACCAAGTCATTCCTGTCCGCCTCCTCCACCTCGTGGATGATGTCCGCCAGCCACTCAAACTGCCGCTGCGTGCGTGTGACCCAGATGAAATAGATCTGTGGCACATGGGGGTGAGGCTCAGAGTGGGGCCACCACCCTTATGCATATCCATGGGGCTCCTTCCCAGAAGGATCACGGAGAATTTTACCCCCAAAGAGGCCAGCAGCAGTAGGAGGCATCTTGGGAGGGCTCTTGTCTTTCAGATGCTTCCTCTTACCTTCTTACACAGCATCTTGGAGTTTATGGAGGACTTGAAGACCAGGTCCTTGAGGATGGATGCAAAGGGCGTCACCCCAATGCCTCCTCCCACCAGCACTGACACCTCGAACTTGTTCCACTCCTGGTGGCCCTCTCCAAAGGGCCCGTCCAGATAGAGCTGGAAGGAAGCAGCCATCAGCAGAGCATCTCCTGCCTCTGCTTGCCCAGGTCTTGGCCGCATTCAAGGCTGGAGAAATGCCTCAGGCTGGGCACAACCCATTGCTGAGACACTCTCAGGCTCAGAGGTCCCCGTCCCCGGAGAAGTAGTGTGGGGCTCACCTTGGGCAGCTTGCCGATGAGGGCCAGGCTCTCTGGGGAGTAGAGTTCTCGCAGGCGGGTGGTCCAGGGTCCCACAGCCCGGATGTGCAGGCTCAGCGTGTCCTCATGTGGCGCTGAGGTCAGGGTGAAGGGGTGGTACTCTGTGGTGCCCAGGGCCACGCAGGCAATGCGCACCCACTGCCCAGACTTGTAGTCAAAGTCCAGTGGCCGCTGGAACTGGAGGTGAGTGACATCTGGAAGGGGGGATGGGGATGGGGACTTCATTAAGGTGGAGACATTGCGTGGTGGAGGTTCCTCCATTGCTGCAGCTCCAGATGCTCTTGCGAAGAGCCTGGGCCATGTGCCCAGGGATGTTGTGGTACCTGAGGGCAGGAGCTCGGCTTTCACAACGCTGATCTCCACCTTCTTCCTGCTCAGGCTGAGCAGCTTGTCCGCACTATAGATGAGAGCTGGGATGATGAAATAGATGTAGAAGCGGGGCTGCTGGATCAGCGCGTAGCTGCCATGGATGATGACCTGGGCAGGGAGCAGTCCCCCATCAGCACGATGCTCAGCACTGCAAGCCATCACCCCGTGACTGATTTGGTGGCAGCTCAGCAGCAGCGGGGAGCTGGGACTGGGGCCACCAGGTCCTTTGGGACCTCCCCAGCTATTTCATCTCATCAGCTGGACCGCCCCAGGGTCTTGCGGTGCATCAGCACCACCCCTCCCTCCTAGCCCTAATGCTTTACCAGGACATAGAGCAACACGTAGAGGTGGTGGGTGATCCAGAAGCCCTGGAAGCTGACACGTCGGAAGTGGTGGGTGGCAAACACGTACATCACGGCCAGGATCACGAGCAGCAGCACTCCTGTCATGCCTGTGAAAGGAGGGGTTGGGAGGTCCTGGGGGGCATCAGGGCAGCCCCACTGGGGCTCCACCTGGGCTGGGCAGAGGGCTGCCTGTCCTGAGCACAGGCATGCAGGGCTGCCTGCTAGGTGGTCTCACCTGGAATAGTTTGGAAGAACCACCAGTAATACTTCTGTGGGAGCTGTGACCTGGAGAGGGACAAGAGATTGCACCATGGAGTGGCCAGAGCAAACTCCTCATTTCCATTTTCATTCCTGTCCATGCCCAGGACACTGTTGTCTGGACTGTGCTTTAAATTTCACCTACCCATCATCTACAAAGACGCTGGAAAAGAGGCAGGACAACACACTGAGAGGTGTGACTGAGAAGATGTAGACGTTAACTACATGACCTGCAGTGTGGAGCACTGTAAGAGACAGAAACCGGGAGAGAAAAGCATCAGTGTTGCTGTGGATGGAGATGTGGCAGACCCTGTTGACGTGCCCAGGGACCTGGCAATTCCTCCTCTTCTCTCGTGCAAAGCATCTATGTCTCTGCAGGCTCCATACAGGTCTTCAAGCTTCTGCCTGGTCCTGCTGTGCCATGATGGGCTGGTCCTCCTGCTTTAGCTGTGGTTCATGGGTGGCACATCCCCCAGCAGCCCACCTACCTGAGAAAATCAGGGCTGCCATAGCTATCCAGCGGTGGAAGTCCACTGCGGCATCGAAGGGGATGTAGTGATTAAGGAAGGTCTCCCGCAGGACTGTGATGAGGTTGCGACACATGGTAAGCAGGATGTAGGAGTACATGAAGGAGATGGAGGCAGCTGATCCCCGGGAGATGATGATCCCCACAAAGGTGGTCTGTGCGATTCCAGTGCTGGAGGATGCGAAGCCATAGTCTGGAAAGAGAGAGTGGAGGGTGTGTCAATGTGCCCGGCGCTGAGGGCCATGACCCTTCTTGAAACAAGGGGACAGCCATCTGTGTGGCTCCACCAAGAAAAGATCACCAGGGATGGGGCTGTGTGGGGATAGGGGCACAATTTCCATGTCAGACCCCCCTAGAGCTGCTGGGTGACAGCAGCTTGGAGGTCAAAGGAGGGGATTGTCCTCCTCTGCTGGGCACTGTGGAACTGCATCTTCGTACTGTGTCCTCAGTTGGGCATCCTGACATGAGAGGCATCAACAAACTAGAATGAGTCCAGTGGAGGCCACCAGAATGGGTGGGAGCTGGAGGACATCACACACGGGAAAGGCTGAGGGAAATGGGTTTGTTCAGGCTGGAGGAGAAGGGTCAGGGAAGGCCTTGTGGCTGTCTGCAACCACTTAACGTGTATTACAGAGCGGAGAGAGCCAAATTCTTTCTTAGAGATGCACAGTGAAAGGATGAGAGGCAACAGCACAATCTTCACTGAAGGAAATTCAGGTTTGATGTAAAATAAACTCTTCACAAGGAGGATGGTCAAAAACTAGCACAGGCCCAATGAGGTAGTGGGTTCTCCAGCCTTGGAGCTCTTCAAACCTTCTCTAGACAAGACCTTCAGCAGCCTCATTCAGCTTTGAAATTGGCCTTGCTATGAGCAGGGCATTGGACCAGACCCCTCCAGAGGTCCCTTCCAACTTCAGTAATCCTTTGGTTATTCCAGGGGAGGACCAACACTGTTGCCCAAAGCTGTGTTGGGACCTTTCACACCCCAGCATGTGCCATGCAACCAGCAGATTTGAGGAGCCAAGCCCACACACCCCTCCATGTCTGGGCCAGCAGGGCTGGATGGGCACTCACAGTAGGCTCGCTCTGCAAACACGCCGGCGGTGATGGCAGAGAAGAGGACCACACAGATGATATGGCGCCGGTAATTCTCAACGAAGCGCTTGAACTCCTGGATCTTCTGCTGAGTTTTGTTCCGCTCATACTTCTTCCGTTGCGCTTCAGTGTACAAATGCAGCTGGTACTGATTCGCCCTGGCAAATACAGGAGGGCTGGTGTCATTTTGAGGTTTAGCCAGCAAAGTATGGCTCAGGGCCATGCTGCCCAGATTTGGGTCTTCCTCCCTGTACAGCACTGTGACCACCTCTGCACACTGGTGACAGCAGTGACCTGTGCACAGTGTCAACAGTTGATCTCAGGTCATCCCGCAGTCTGTGCACTTTTGAAAGCTAGTAACAAATGTGCAGGTAGTGACTCATAAATGAAAACGTAGATCAGAACTGTAAAAGATAATTTTCATTGTAATATTCAATGCTTCAAACTGATCCCAGGGCAGGGGAAGGTCCTTGGAGCTATTAAGGCAAATCAGGATATTCTGGCCATGAGTAACAACCACTGAACTGCTTCCTTGTAGAAATATTTGCTGCTGCCACAGCAGTGAGGACCAGAATCTCTCCTGCAGCTCTCGCAGGCAGCCCATGGGTGAACCAAAAGTGTCCCAAGGGGCAGAGGAGTGCAGGCAGGACCTACCAGGCAAAGCCCCTCTCTGCTGGCAAGGCGTACACTCTAAAAAACACTATCCCAGGCTCTGGAGTTGGCCACTTCATTTGTTTTTTATAGAGGCACATCACCCAGACCCAGCTATGGCACTGCCCCCACCAAGACAGGGCTGTTCCCATAGCTCCTTGGCCAGCGAGAGGCTGTGATGTGCCTGCCTGGGCTGGGGTATCTTCTGCAGGGATGGTCTCGCATTCCCTCCCTACATTGCACCATTGTCATGGGGGTGCTGGCTCCTTGCAGCAGTGCCATTTGACTGAAGGGCTACCCAGTCTAACACAGAGATATGAGAAGGAGCAAATAAGCTGAACCTGAACCCAAGAAGCATGCCCAGCAAGAGGGAGAGCATACTCACTTTCTGCCTGGTCTCTTCCTCAACTCTTGTCCTTCTCGCTCCACATAGTGGCTCACAGTGTCCATGTTTGGGTCTTTCTCTTCCTCTGAGATGGTTCTGTTGGAAATAGACCTATGTCTAGCCCAAAGCTTTACTTGCAAGGAAGGGCTTGCCAAAATTTTCTGTTTCTCCACTTTCCATCTCATACTCAGCTGAGAAGGTGTCCAGCTCTCTCCTCTGCAAGCCTGCTTGTTTGTCGTGGTTTAACCCCAGCCAGAAACTAAGCACCATGAAGCCACTCACTCAATTCCCCCCACTCCTGCCTCAGTGGGATGGGGGAGAGAATCAGAAGGAAAAGGGTAAAACTCGTGGGTTGACATAAGAACAGTTTAATAGAAAAGAAAGGAAGAAACTAATAGTGATAATAATAAAATGAAAATAATAATAAAAGGACAAGAATGTACAAAACAAGTGATGCACAATGCAATTGCTCACCACTCACTGACTGATGCCCAGTTAGTTCCCAAGCAGCGGTCCCCCCCAGGCCAACTCCCTCAGTTTATATACTGGGCATGACATCACATGGTATGGAATACCCCTTTGGCCAGTTTGGGTCAGCTGCCCTGGCTGTGTCCCCTCCCAGCTTCTTGTGCCCCTCCAGCCTTCTTGCTGGCTGGGCATGAGAAGCTGAAAAATCCTTGATTTACTATAAACACTACTTAGCAACAACTGAAAAACATCAGTGTTATCAACATTCTTATACTAAATCCAAACCATAACACTATACTAGCTACTAGAAGGAAAATTAACTCCATCCCAACTGAAACCAGGACATTGTGTTAAATTTAATTGTGTGGTACATGGGTTGGATTCACTCTAAGATAACCTGCCCCTCTGAAAAGCAAGGTAGGACTCCCATCCCCACGTAGTGGATGCAACAGGGGCTCTGCAGGAGGCAGTTCCTCCCCTCTGCCTGCCTGGGTGCCAGGGGAGGAGGGCAGAAGCCCCACCACAGCCTCCAGCTTGCTCGCAGGCATGTCCCAGCATGATCGTCCCCCTTCCCCAGTGCTGGGTGTGCGAACACCTGGTGGGAGCATTTGCTGGAGGGGCTGAAGTGAAGGATGGATGTGGTCAGGGCAGAAGGAGAGGAAGAAATGGCAGCAGCAGCAAGACTAAGGAGGAGAGCTTACCCTTTTGGCTCTTTCTTTTTTATGAAGGAGACACGGTTGTGCAGGTTTTGCTTGAGCACCTCAGGGACACCTTTGAGGAGCCAAAAGGACAAATAGCCATTCAGAGTGTGCAAGATGCGGTGGATGAGGTTTAGGCATCTCCCCTGGGCAGGGGTGTGGTGGGGAGAGGCTCTGAGCTGACCCAAACCTGTTGCACATGGAGCTACAGCTGATGCCCCATTACTGCAGCGGGGTTGGGGAGATTGATGGGACAAGATTTGGGAGCTACATATTGGGTGCTGCCCACTGCCTCCATCCCTGCAGGGCCTGGGGTGACCCAATACTCCTGCCCACTGACCTTTGATGCAGAGCTGGGTGAGACGAAGCTCACTGTCATGGTCCCGCAGCATGTAGTGGAAATCGTCCCACGTCAGCTCATACCTGTCCTGAAACCCTGAGGCCCGAAACATGGACTCAGTCACCTGCTCTGCCTGGTCTCTTGACAGACAGTTGTTGGAGATCTCGATGAAGGACCTGGAGCAAGGAGGAGAGATGGAAACTTCAGAGGACCACAGCTTGAGTCCTTCAAGTAACACAGGGCAGAGCCCCAGACCAGTTTCATGGGAGAAATGGGGTCTTGGTTGTGAGTGTTGAGCCCATGGGCTCTCACGTAGCACCCTTGGGGAGTGAAGCACAGAAAGTGGGAGCTGCTTTTGAAGACATCTATGTTTACAGACATTGTGAAAACATCTAGAGAGATGAAGAGAAGTACCTGAGCATCCTCAGAAACTCCTCCTTGGAGAGAAACCCATTCTCATCAATGTCATACATCCTGAACATCAACTTGGACTTCTCCTCTGGGGACCCTGGTGGAAAGGGAGGGAGCTGAAGAACAAGATCCTATTTTCATCAACAAGTTGCTTTCAAACACCATCTTTGAGAGTCTGGGCCTGCAGCAGTGAAGCCTCACCCAGCTCTGAAAAGACTGAAAGCACACTGCTGATCACAGCTTGAATAGCAACTTGACTTTCTCAAGTGCAAGGTGAAAAATCAGGTAGATACACATTCTTTGTTGTGCATTATTTTGCAAACTCAAAATGTACTTTTGGACAGCAATGATTTTTCTAGGACCCGCTTTGATTGAATCTGGCATTCACCACCTCCATCTATGAATCTACCTTTCCAGTGGTCATTCAGGGAGGATCAGTTATGATATCAGATACACTTATTATCATCTCTCAATGACAGGATGCATGGTCTGTTCAGGAGACAAGGCAGACATCTATGGTGGTGAAAGATAGCTCCCCTCATGAACAGTCTTTCATAAAACATAATTACATTGTCACTGCCCCATAACTCAAGTTGAAGCTGTCCTAAGTGAAGGGAATTTTAATCTGTAGGAGTGTCTACAGATTGACCTGCTGGATAGATCTTGTTCTTCACTCTGCTGGTGGCATTGCCAGATCCTAGAAACAGGTCTGAGGGCAACAGATGAAGACAATACCAGCTCCAGCTCCCACCTTTCATGAAGACCACCAAGATGTCCAGGAATTCCCGGAAGGAGATGTAGCCGTTGCTGTCTTTGTCAGCCAGGGAGAACATGGAGTCCACAAACATGGAGTGGGCTTTGAGTCCCAGGGCCTCAGCAAACTCAGCCCTGCTCAGCTCACATGTTAGAGACTCCTTCGCCTTCTGTGAAGATTCAAAGTTGAGCTCTCCAGCATTGGACCTGTCAATTTCCAGCACCTGCAGGTTGTGTCCCACAAAGAAATCCCATAAGTGCTGGCAGAGCAGAAGACTGGTGTTCACTTGCCTGACCTATTGCACAAACACCAGTGGCTCCCCGGCACAAAACTCTGGCAGATACCATAGGGAAGTCCCGTGTCTCTCCTACACAACGTGACTTTCACACTAATCACCACTGACCATTACGGAGACCTCAGTTACATCATCCAAAAGTCTCTTTGCAACTTTATATCACCACAGCAGAACTCCCTTTGTCTTCTGCAAGGGAAAATGTCCCTTGGTCCTGAAAGTATTGGCAGCTTCCTTGTGCATGGCTTACCAGCTCTGACGGAGAGCAACAGCAGCACCATTCATTGCTTAATCAATACAGAAATACCTTCCTCCATGCATCAGAGCCTGCCACACCTCTACATACCTGAGCAAACAGGTGCCTGAAGAAAGTCTCCAGAATTTGTTTTCTCTGTTCCTGGGTGACTGCCCATTTCATCAGGCTCTGCTCCTTCATCTCAGAGATATGCAGATCAAGGCCGCTTTCCTTCAAGTAGTCTTGTAGCTTCCCAATGAAGTTGCTCCTCTCTGCCTCCTCGCTGAAAAGCAGCACCTGCAAAAGACCCCACCGAATGCCCCTGAGCAGCAGAGGCTCAGTCGGGATGCGAGTGCTACTGCTCTTCACCACAGCAGTCACTCCGTGGTATAAGCTGGACCTGGTGGTTCTCAGGAGGCCACAGCCACCTTTCAGGGATCTATGCTGCTCCCAGTGCCCAGGGCTGAGTGGTGCAGGGTGTACGTGACCAGCAGCAGGTTGCGTGGGTCACTCAAGGATTGTGGAGGGTCCATGGACGGTATCATACCCCAAGCATGGTACTCACCAGGTCGTACTCCTTGGGGCTCTTCAGGAGCAGAGCTTTGTTCCCTTTGTTGCTGGAGAGGATCACCTCCACCCTTTGATGGGCTTTCAGGCTGATGGTCCGGAGCACAGACCCTCTCCCATCCAGCACTTTGAGCACTTTGTCAGCTTGGAGCTGAATGTAGACGGGAGAGCTGTCTGTCTTGGGACCATGCCACTCCATGGCTGATGGGAGAGAGCACAGGACTCAGCTGGAAAGGCGTACCTGGGCTCCTATTCAACCCAGCACCTCCTTCACCAAGATGCAGTTTGGGAGTGATTTCATGGCCAGACACATGATAAGGGAAAAATTATGATCTCCCAACTGCAGAGCACTGTGTCTCCTGCACATGGACACAGGAGGAGTACAGACCATGGAGCTGGGAGGCAGGATTTTTCCAGTGTCCAGAGCAGGGAGATACAGTCCCTGTCCTGGAGCTACTGGTGCAATTGCTCTACACAGGTTTCCTTCAGGTAAGGTGTGATCTGGAGAACGTTGGAATTGGAGAGTCATAGGATGACTCAGGTTGGAAGGGACTCAGGCTGGAAGGGTCTCTTGCCCAACCTCCTGCCCAAAGTAGGACCAGCTACAGGGTCAGGCCGGTCTACTCAAGGCTTTATCTGGTCAGGTTGTGGATAGGATGGAGATGGCACAACCTCTCTGGGCTACCTGCTCCACTGCTTGACTATCCTCCTGGGGAAACAATTTCTCCTTACATCCAGTCTGGATATAAGCTCCAAGCCCAGCCCTGTCTCAGTATGTGCCCTGACTTCAGCAGCATTACCAGACGCCATCGCAGGACTGACAGTGCCACCTCACCATGTATTGCCTCGCCGGTCACCTCTCTCTGCACATTGGAGCCCTGCTTCTTCTGCAGCTTCTTGAAATCTCTCTTGCGGAGAACGGCAACGATCCAGGCAACAAACAGAGTCACTGGGGACATATTGGAGAAGGAGGCATGAGATATCCCAAAACTCCTTCCCACTTTGGCAGCATCACCTGTGTGACTGGGGCTGACAGGGAAGACATAAACCCCTGTCTATGCAGTTCAATGCTGCATTGATTTCTTTAATGCAGGGCTGCTCAATGAAAGCCCTGCTCCCTCCTGCTGCCCCAGGACCCTGCCACCTCAGGGACCTCAGGAGTGACCAAGACTCAGCAGCTTCTGCTGGGAGGTGCTTGGTCCATGGGCACTGACCCCTTTCTGTGGTAGAAGAGGAGATGGGTAAAGAAACAGAGCAGCAAACCTAAAGGCAGACAGCAGAGGACAACGATGATGATCCCAAAGCCTGCGCCGCTGCCTTCGAAGTAATCCAGCACCATCATGGGCGTGCAGTTGGCCAGCTGTTGAGCTGTGACCTGCTGGAGCTGGGGGCACGGATCCCCTGCATGGGGGGAGACAGGCTGTGAGTGTCATGGACCTTTTACCCATCTCAACTCCATCATCCCCAGAAACCTCTGCATTAAGATGCTGGTGGGGTTCATTGCTGAGTGACCCAGGAGGAACTGCAGAACTGGGATGCTTGAATTAAACTCGGCTCTTAGGGGACAACCCTTGGTTTTGGGTTGAACCTTTGCCTGCCACAGCAAACCAAGTGCAGAACTGGACTCAAGCGTTCAGCACCATCACCTCTCCTGATGGGATGGGCTGAGCCTGATGCACTCTGGGCTATGGCAAATTGGGGGTCAGAGCCTCTGCTCATCCGGATGCTGCAAATTCAGGGAATCCCCCCGGAGCAATTGCATGGAGCATATGCCAAGGGAACCAAAATGCCTTGCAAGGGCTGGGACGTGTGCCAAATAAAATGCTTTCGGGAAGGGTGTGGCAAGATCCCAAGAGGAAAAGGCATACTGCTGTGTTTGACCACAGCTCACCCTGAGCATGGCAGCAGGGCTCTTTGGGTCTTGACAAGGAGAGGAAAGCTCATTTCAAGGACGGCACAGGAAGACATCAGGGTGAGGGGTGCATATCAGTATGGGACTAGCCTGCTGGGAACCCAAAACCTGCTGGGATGCAAGTCCTGAGCTCTCCCCAGGCTGAAATCCGGCTGGCACAGTCCATGTTGCTGTTGCAACTACATCTGCGGGAAAGGCTGTCCAGCCCTTCCAGCAGCACTGGTTAACCAACAGCCCTGTCAGCAGAGCAGCTAGGCAGGAGTTGGTGTTGCAGTATGGCACCCAGGGCATATTCAGGGGTTGATTCAATTACAGGCAAAAGTAGGCAACGTTATGCAGTTACAGTATACAAAGCTTAACTCATCTGCAAACCATCATGTTTCAGGTCACTCATCATTTAACCTGCAGACCTGTGCATGCTTCTATATAGACAGAGCTAGAGGACACGTCAGTGAGGAGCGTGACAGCATGGGGTAGGCAGAGGCCGAGTTTTAAGCCCAGCACAAACTTCCAGGGCATCAATTGCATTTTTGTACCTGGACATCCTTCAAGGACTCATGCAATGCACGTGCCTGGACGTCAGCCCACTTTCAACATCAGCACTGCCCACTTTGCTTACAAGCAACCCTTGCATTTTGCTCACATTTTGGTGGTGTAGGGGCATAGCAGGTGTCAGGCTTGAGAAACTGCAGCCCGATGCTTTCCCTGTGTCACTCAGTCACTGGCTGTGTCACCGAAATGGGTTTGCTTTCCTCCTTAACTTGCTGGTGCCATTTGCTCCCTGCACCCTGCCATTGCACAAAGCGCTCACCCTCACTCCAGACGAACACGTTGGGCTGGAGCTGTGTGGGGTCTGTGCCTGTGACAGCAGCCAGGACATCGTGGAAGGTGGTGTTACGGATCTGCCTGGTTTCCTCTGCTGTGAACAGCCTGGAGAAAAAGATGTGGGGTCAAGTGGTGGCCCCAGGTGTCACTGGCCAGCAGCAGGAGGGATTCACTCCCTGCACTGCTTTAGGAACTGAGGAAGCTGGAGGATGTTTTTTCCTCTAGCCCCAGTTTTTGTGTATTACTGGGGCTTGCAGAGCAGTGGGCAGCCTGCCAGATGGGGAAGAGGCATTTACCCATTCTTGGTGTTTTCGAACCAAAACCTGTCACCATCACGCAGGCGCACAAACTGGTCCAGGATGATGGCACTGAAGAGGGAGCCGTCAGTCTCCAGCATGCCTCCAGGGAGCAGCTCCAGCCCAGCCGTGTTGTTGGCATACAGGGCAGCGACCTTTTCTAGGACCTGGCCAGAAACCCCCACCGTACCCATGTGAGCGGAGGGAATTCTGCCAGGGCATCCAGTGGCACAGGAGCTTAGTACCAGGGCAGGATATAGTTAGTCATGCCATGTAATTGCACAGTTACCCACACGCAACAGCCCCGCAGGCATGAAAATAAGCTAGGGCAGGATGCACACTGATGTCCCTCATCTTATATTGCTGGAGAAGTCAGTTACTGCTTGGACTGCCCCAACATCCTTTGACCCACACACTTTCCATGCCCAGACCAGTTCCCTGTTACCTGTTGCTCCAGGTGTGGGGCAAGGTCCGACCAGTTCTGGAGAGGCTCCAACCCAAATCGCTCCCGGGCTTGGTTATACGTGGGCAGGCCAAGGTCTCGCCCACGCTGAAACCAGCTGGCCACATAGTCGGTGCGGGAGTACTTCAGGGGCCCATACCAGTAATCTGTGGGTGGATTCAAAGCCGTGGTGATGGCAAGGCAGAGCTGGAGAAGCAACTCCAACTGCCATAGCTGCCGGGCTGGCCTTGTCCCTCCACCATGGGCCGTGCTGAACATGGAGATCATCTCCATGCCCTTGCCAGGAAGGTCCCATGGACACACTTAACATGCCCTGCAGTTTCTCTCTGCCTCCATTAATAAGGTTAAGGCTGGTCTGAGCATGTGGTTGGGTGCTGATGGCAGCAGCGATGGGACCTGCCTCCCCACCTCAGCCCCTGCACAGCCCCAGGAGAAAGGGTCACCCACTGACATGCTATCTGCAGTGCAGGGGAGTGCAGACCTTGGAGATCTTCCACCACAATGTTGTCCTCCCGCTCCGCAATCTGTGAGCTCATCCCCAGCAGGAGGTTGTCCACATCCTCTGCCTGCTGTGGCCCGATGCTCTGAGGGGAGATGGGAAGAGCAGGTGATTCCTTGCAGGACCAAGGACATGGGGTAGCCCCACACCCCTGAAGTGGTGCCCATAGGGGTGCAGACTCTGGGCGTAGGGGGACTAGGGACTTCTTCCAGGCTCATTTTCTCCGTGTCAGCTCAACCTTGAGGTCTGATCCTGCCGCAGCTGAAGGCAGCATCTGGGGATGTCTGGATGGGGAGAATCTCACACCCCTTGGTTGGCTGTCATGCTCTGTGTCCAGTCTCCCTTTCAGACCCCTGTGGGGTCCTCCACAACAAAAAGGAAGGAATGAAGATTCCCCCAGCCAGCCTGCCACATCCTCAGGACCCCCGCGCTCCCTTCCCCGTACCTCTCTTCTCCAGTAGCTGTTGCAGAGCCGCACTGCTGGGAATGGGCCACCGGGACCAGGCACTCCCTGAAACTGGCAACTGGGGTCTCTGGAACAGCAGAGAAGGGCTGGACCCACAACCCTGGCTGGGGCTGCCCTGAGCTGACAGGGCTTGGCTGTCCCAGTGAGGGGCAGGATGTGGGGAAGGGACAGGGACCATCCCCGGCCACCACCCCATCTTGGGCATCCCCTTCCCCGTCATGGGCACTGCTCTCCCACAGCCCCGCTGGGCTGCTCCTACCTCTTGTAAACACCCGGTGGCACCATGGTGGCCAGGAATTGTCCTGCAGCTGCCACAAACTCCGGCGAGAGGCTGGGGTCCAGGTGCTGCTGGTAACCTGTGAGGCAGCAGCCATGGTCCAGCAGCCAGGCTGGAGGGAAAGGGGGCCAAGCTCCCTCTCCCACTCCATCCCCTGGCTGCCCTGGTCCCCGCACCCCTGCTCCCTGCATGCCATCACCCACCGTGCCCCTCACCTTTGTACTCCGGGACACTTCTCCCCAGCAGGGTCGGAAGCCACTCGTACAGCACGATGCTCTAGGGCATAGGTGACCTGGGTCAGGGCCAGCACCAGGGAGGATGTTGGGGGTCCCGGTAGAGCCGGCGGTCCCACCCCTCACCTGGAAAGTGGCGATGACCCACTTGCGAGCATGCTGGAAGAGGTCCTCATCAGGCCAGGTGGGGTGTGCTTTGGCCAGCACTGTAGCCAGGTGGTTGTGGTACCGAAACCAGGCGATGCTCTCAGCCTGCAGGAAGGGGTTCTCATTCCCCCAGGCACTCCCCAGGTCTGCAAGGGCCGCCAGGACCATCAGTGGGGGATGCTGCCACTGGGTCTAGATTTGCCCGTGGCTGGAGGATCACCCCCAGCCCTGTGGCTGCAGCTCAGCATCCCCTCATCCCCTCGCCCTTCCTCCCTCCCCAGGGAGACAAGCAGCCTTAGCGAGTGAGAAACAGCACTAGGCCTCCAGCACGGACCAAAGGTTGGGCAGGTGAGGACTTCAAACAAGCTGAGTAGGTTTTTATCGGCAGTAGCCCCTTTCCCCAGAGGAGATCACCTCAAGTCAGAGGGACCAGCACCCACTAGTCTCTGCATGTTGGCTGGGAAATGACCCATTGTCTCCTGGGGATGTGGCACCTTAACTTCACGGCATGTCTTTGCTGGGAAGCCTTTGGTGGGGCACATATCTTCCTCCCCCTTGGGCTGGGAAACTGCCTGCCCTCCCACAGGACTCCTGACCCACTTGTCCTGGCTCACAATGCACCCCTGCCCTTTCCTGAGGTCCCCTCTGGGCTTGGCTCCAGGGACCTCCTGCTCCCAAAGCTCATGGTCAGGGATGGAGCCAAGCAGGTGAAAACCCATTGAGCATGGTCACCATTACCATAGATCCCCTGGGGACCACCCTGTCCTGTGGATGGATCCAGCGCTTTCCACATGGGGACCTTCCCATCTGTCTCCCTCGGGAGGCGCCCACCGGGCCCTGATGCCAGCCTTCCCCCTGAGAAGCTCCTCAGGGCATCACTCCAGGAGTGCGAGGGGCCGTAGATGGAGCTGCCGTCCAGCCAGCCTGTCACCTCGTTGGTCTAGGGCAGGCACAGGGAACAGGCATTAACAGGTACCAGGGTCTCGGTGGAAAGGTGCAGAAAAAAGGTCTGAAAAGCCCCAACCTGGCCCTTTTGGTCTTGCAAAGCAGCCACCCCATCCCCTGTTTTAACAAGAGCTATCAGGGTGCAAATACATACAATGACAATCTCTATGCAAACTGCAGGAATTAGTGCCAGGTACAGGAAAAGACCAGGTACAGATTTTTCAAAAGTACATTTTGTTTTTTTTTTCCCCAATTATTTTCAGCTATGCCCAGAAGCAGACATCTGTGAATCCCTATGTAGGCAAGACCAAGATGGAAAGGGACTAAACCCATCTCTGGGGAAACTGGAAACACTGGAGCTGTCCCTCTGGGCAGCCCTGTCCTTGCAACAGGCAGTCCCACTGCCTTGGCAGCATGTTGAATATCTCCCCTGCCAAATGTTTTCATGAAAACATCCTTTTTAGTCTGAAAAACATGCTGGAGGTTTCTTTTTTTCTAAGGTTTGAAATACTGCTAAAAACATGACTTGCTAATCTGGTCTTTTCATTGTTTATCACGTGAAAGGTTCAGGGAGCTGTTTTGCTTTGGGGATTTTGATTGGGAAGCTTTCCAGCATCAAAGAAAAATCACATGGGCTTGGGAACATATCCAGCCTCAGCACAGCAATATATGGAGAAACTGGGGGAAAATCTGGATTTTTTTTTTCCAAAATGACTGAAATTCAGAGAAGCTTTACAACTTCATGACAGTACCAGCTCAGCTTTGTGATATATTATTAAAAATAAGTGGTGCCTAAAAAATTGTCATAATTACTGACCTTCTAGAGTGGCACAAGTGTATGATTGGTTATGGAAGTTCATTACACTCGTGCTAAAAAGGCTCCAGTTATCCCTTGTTTCACCAGATACAGACAGCCCTACTTTTGCTCATTTTGACTGAAGTGATAAAAACTTTGCCAGTCAAGGAAGACTGTGAATTGCTCATCCTTTACCATTTTGTCTTCTGCCCTCCGTAAACCATGCAAGATACTAAAATTTGCACTAAAATAGATGACACAGGCAGATCTAGAGTAATTATGTTTTCTCTGGCCAAGAAAAGCACTGACCTTGAGCAACCACAAATGTTGCTCCATGTGAACCAGTACCTTGCAGGTTGTGCTTTGGGTTCATTTGCAATTGGTTCGAACACTTGAGAGACATATATTTTTAAGGAAACAGTGGTGCTCTCCTTTTATTTTTGCAAATGCTATCTTGGCTGCTACAGACCCCAATGTTGGGTGAAGAGGAATTTAGCTGAAAGGTGAAGAGCAAAGCAAATGCTACCTACCTGTTCCCGGGGGTTGTTGGGGCTCTGCCCCGTCTCCGTCACCCAGTGGATGCGCTGGAAGGGCAGGACCACATCTCCAGTGCCTGCAGGGTCAAACATGAGGTCTCCAGATGGGATGTGGATGTTCAGGAACTCAGCAGGGCAGCCAGGTTTCTCCACCTCCAGGATGTCCGAGAGCACATAGAAACCTGTCAGAGACCCAAGCATGGTCAGCAGCTCAGAGGACTACCACCAGCACCTGGAGCAAGATGTGATGGTGAGCAGCTGAGCCATACGTGGGCTGAGGGGGCCACCCTGTGCAGCAAGAGTGGTTTCCTTTCTCCCTTCACTGCTGATTTGCTCCACGACTTTGAAAAAGTCACTTTGGGCTGCAGCCCCAATGTGCTGAACTCCATTCCACAGGAACAGGGCTCCAGGTGCCCCTGGCCAGACCTCATGAGTAAGGTAGGGTCATTCAGGGACAAGGGTGGAGAAACTCAGCCAGCAGATGTTCCGAGATCACCAGCAGCTCTGCATTTAGCCACTATTTCCCTGAGCTCCTCCTTGCCTGTGGCCTTCAAGCCCAAGGGTTGCTTCCGATGCTGAGCCTGGTGGCTGCCATTGCTGTTGGCCCATATAAGCTTTGCTGTGTTGGGAAAAACTATCTCCAGGGAGAAGCTAAATGGTACTGCACTAGTGTCTGCCTCTCCTGTGGCCCATCTTGGGGCCAAGCACCCCTGCTGGGGTGTCTGGGGACGTATATGAACATTAAGCTGTATGGGGAGCTAATTGTCTCCGCTTCTTTGACAAGTTCAGCCTGTTTTCTCAATGAGCCAAGGGTATTTCCCAGAGACAGACATCCCCGAGCTTGGGCACCCAAGACACTGCCAAGCTCCTGAGTGACAGCAAAAACTGCTCCAACTTGCAACAATTCTGCCCAGCAATCAGTCACAGTATGGCTCTTATCTGTCAGGCGTTTTGCAATGGGGTAACTCTACCGCTAAAACAAATGAGGAAGTTCCCAAATGACAAACACCAGCATTTGGGGCAACTGCCAAAGGTCACCAAAAATTCATGCAAACTCTCTTGGCGGAACAATACTTTGGTATGGCAATACCCAAGGCCTTATCTCTCAGGTGTGTGTCTGCTATGAAGTGGTGGGTGAGGAGCACTCTGACGCATGGCCTTGGGGTGTGAGAAACCAACATTTTTCCACCCAAACCAGCATCTTTCCACCTGGTGCCAGACCCCAGCTCTTACCAAAGAAGACAGCCAGCACGGTTGTGTTCCTACGGGAGGGCAGCCCAGAGGGCCCCCGCGCCACCGCATTGCTGAGCTGGCGAGCGTTGGGCACGCGGGGCTCCTGCAGTGCCTGGTAGACACCATCTGCGTAGTTGGCTGGCAGGAGACGCAACAGTCTGGCACCTGTGGCACCAAAGCAAGATGACATAGGTCCAGCAGCACCCAACAGATAGGAGATGCAGCAATAGTGGGGTACACTAGTGTGTGTGAGGGTCCCAGAAGAGAGCAAGAGGATGGCATAGACACTTATATTGGCCAAGAACAAGCAAGTTTTGGTACCAACACCCAAAACTTCTTGCAACACCAGGATTAGTCCTCTTAAAACTAGGAGGTTATCCTCCATGGGCATGTTCCCTTCCAGTTGTCCTTCTCTGGTCCATGTGTATCCCCTTTGCCTCCTGGAGGTCTGGGGTGGTGTGCTCCAGTGGGTAACTGGAGTGATGTTAAGCTGCCCATGTTGGCTATGCAATCCTACACAAGCATGGTGATTGCCAACACCACAGGGAACAGGAGAAGGAACAGCTGGAGAGGCAGAGAGACAAGGGAGAAGATGAGAGAGAAACACCCTGACTTCACACCCACTGCCTGTACCGTAACTGAAAAGCCCAGAGGCAAGAGGTCATTTTGCACTGATGAGCAAGTTCTTTTCGAAAGGTTCTTCACCAGTGTGGCAGGCTTCATTTGCTGGAGTTCCCTGGACTGGGGGAAATCCTGAATTACTGGCTTAGTTTCCAAATGTTAAGGTCTGATCTGTCTGCTCTGGAAGAGGGACATCTTGTCTGCCAGGGAACCGCTGGATCTCTCTGACAGGCTTTGGTGTAACCAAAGGGCTGATGACACACGTCATGTTGGAGAGCCCTTCGGACTCACAGGAAGCTGTGTAATTGCCACCACGCCTTGTGTCACTGTGTAGGTGCCTTATTTGGGCTGCAGGAAATAGGAGGATTCATAATCTTTAGTATTTGAGATAAGACCATGCCTGATCTGCCCTGGTCCCTGGCTCGGAGACATGTCCTGGAGGTGGGCCCATGGGCTGGTTGTGGTCATGTAGCTCACTACTGGCACAGGGAAATCCTGCATGCCTGCCCCAATATAGACCACTACATGCTGCACAGCAGCCCAACAGTGCCAAATCTGCCCTGTGCAGAGCGGAAAAAAAGTAGGTCCGGCACGCCTACTGCAGCCTGGACCATGAACACATCTGTCTCTGGCCTTGTGTTGAATGTTGCTTGAACAGCACTCTGATTTTGGCTAAAGATGCCTTTTCCTAGCTCTGGGATCCCTGACTATCACTGAAACATCTGCTGGGAAGAGCTGGGTCCTCCCTACCTTGGATATTTTGAATGACCCCTCAAAGGCACAGCTCTGCTCCAGGAGTGATCCACCACCAGCATGATCTGCAGATGGTGCCTGGACAGCAGGTAAAAGTGGCAAGGCCAGGACATGGGAGACAAAGCTTGGCTGCTTGGCCCCTCCAGACTGCTCTAAAGAGGCTCTTAAGTGCATCTAGGGACCTACCTTGGGTTCAAACAGCCACCTCTCAGGACCATGGGAGGTGGCATTGCCTGGTCACCTGCCTGGTTCAGGCTCAAGTCTGAAAAGGCTTCTCTCTCAGTTGTAAAGCAAGCCACATGCCAAAGTGCCAGCTTGCCCCGTCCCACCATCCCCATCCCCAGGCCTGGCACTCACCCGCCGAGCCGTGGCTGTGGTGCAGCAGGTTGTTGTACCAGCCATCGTAGCGCTGGACCTCCCAGGAGATGCTCTCCTGGGCTCCTGGAAGAGACCGTACCCACTTGGTGAGCAGCAAAAAAAAAACCAAACATGAAACGAGCATCTCCATTATATTATATTTATATTGTGATATTTTCCCATAGTCTTTCTGAAACTTTCTGTACAAACAGTTTTTTAGACAAGTTTTGCACTCCTATTGAGGGATAAGCAATGCCTAAAATTAGAAATTGCTTGTGATCCTGATGTCCCCAAATCAAATTCTGTCCCCCACCAGTCTACTCCCAGAGGATCTTCATTTTCTGCTTCTCTCTCATTGTATCAGAAGAAGCCTGTCCCTACTTCTGCCCCCACAATGTCCATTTGAGTCAAGCAAAAGCCTTGACACTGGAGTTATGCTCTCCTCCATGCATAGTGTATCAGCATCAGCCTTTGTCAATAAATATATACTTTGTTTCCTTTGTGTTAATTTTTATTGCTTTTATTATAATACTAGCAGGAAGCTCCAGTTCCTGCTTACAAGCTGTGTACACATATAAACAGCAGTAGCTGAGACTCCCAACCTGTAGGCTCTGTAAGTTCAGCATTTTGCTCCATTTTTTTCTTATTTCATCACAAACTGAATCATCCCCATCTCTGATATGATGCCCCATGAGTTAGAGGAAATTCCTCTGAGGGGCAGAAACTATCCAGGATCTCCCTTTGGATCCCCTTCCCTGAAACCGCACTTACTCCCCAAGGTCCACGTCACCAGCAGAACCACGGTCAAACTCAACATCATCTCTGTGGGTTGCATTGGCCCCTGGGTCTTTGGAAGCAGCGACCTGCAAAAGGAGAGGAGGGAGCTGGAGCTGGAGCTGGGCTGCTCTCGGAGGCTGGGAACATGCACAGACCATAATCTCAGCTCTCTCTTGTGGTTTCTGCTGCCTGGTAAAATCCCACTGCCGTCATCATCCATCAGCAGTATCTCCCAATTTGGGCTGTGGGAAGGTGGCAGGGGGCATGTGAGACCCCATCACCCTGGGAAAGCTCTGTCAGGAGGTGTCAACTGGCCTGAGAAGACCTTTCTGCTGGAGCAGGACCAGTATCCCTGCCTTGAGGTACCCCAGCTGTAGGTTCGCAACTCATCATCCACAGCAGGCAGACATTAAGCTGTGCCAGCTTCGTTATAGAAACGTGCTCTTCGTTACAGAAACAGACACATTTCAGCTGGCAATTTCTCTGCGCATGCATTGTCCCATCCAAGCAAAATCCAGCTGCGAACATGATTGGAACAGCCTCAGCATGCAGTCAGGTCTGCCAAAGTGTGCTAGTACTGCAGATCAACATCTCTTGATCACCTCTGGGCTAAATCGAAGGCACTCTCGCATGACCAGCCTTTCTCATAACACTTTAGCATCTCACTTTCCACAAAGGCCCTGGATCCAGAGCAAATTTCATCAGTGGGACCTGAACCTTTAAAACCTCAGCCGAAAACAGCTTTAAAACCTGACTGCAGAGAAGGATTCCCAGCCATGAACAGCTAAGGCTACATTTTTCGGTCATAAATGCTAAATGCTGCTGTTGGCTTTCAAATGCACAGGAATGCCAAACTTGGATTTAACTCCAAGATACGGTTTTCCACTAAATATGGCTCTTTGTCCCTTGTTCCAGCACTGTGGGTGTGTATCCAAAGACTAGCCCCATTTCAGAGGACCTGTGTTGCCAAGGGATGCGGTGATGCACAGGTTTCAGCTTTTCCTATATTGCTCTGTCACAAGCCAAAGTGATGCTTTTAGTTTCTTTTTTTCATTGTTTTAATCAAAACTTAAAGAAATGATGGTTTCAGAAAGGCTTACATGTTGCCAGCAGCTCTGTAGGTTTTATTTTTGATTTACTGGGAATTGCAGTGGTATTTTTCACTTATCACTACCAGTGGCACAAATTGTAATATGAGAGTCACTAAATACACTATCCACTTGGCAAATGAAGTTGATTGAGATTTAAATATTGTCATTTGTGGTCACATTAATTGCATTTCATAAAACTGAACGCTCATTGCCAGGTTGTAAGTATCGTATATAACCTGTGTTAGCTTCCTTCTGCCAGAGATTTCTGTACTTTGGGCCTTTTGCATTAGAAAGCAAGCTGTTTCTTGAGAAGTGACATTTCCACGTTCCTCCTTTGTCACAACAGCTCACCTGTGCTCTGCACCTCACAGAACATTATTACAGGCAAACCACTTTGTTTGTTAGCTTTCCATAAATGTATTTAACAAACATTATTACAGGCAAACTGCTTTGTTAGCTTTCCATAACATGAATTTAACATTAAATCCCTATTGAAATACCTCTGCATTGATTGCATTTTCAGTTCTGGCCTCACTTCCATGGGCATGGGAACTAGGGCTGCTGAAAGCCTCAGAGCTGCTGAGAGCAGCACTGAGTTGTGTTCCTGGTTACCCAGTGCCACCCCTGTCCTCCTGGAGCATGTCCCTGTGGAAGGGGCCCCAGAGCTCTTCCATCCCACAGCCCTCTGCTGAGCATGGTCTTGTGGGCATGAGATTTGGGTTGTGTGGCTGGTGGGAATCAGAGGCTCCGTGAGCCCCATCCCGTAGGGGGAACATGAAAGTTTGGCCAATAGGTGAAGCAACGAGATGCCTAGGACCTCTGCCAGGAGTGGCAGAGCCCAGTCACCATCACCACATGGGACGCTCCTGCCAGAAAGCTCTTCCCATTGAAACAGCCTGTTCCCTGCTGAAACCAATGTGGAGGGCTGTGTGGCTGGAGACACCCTGAGCAACAGCTGTGGTTTGCTTGTGCACAGAGGTCCACGTGACCTCCTGCACTGTAGGAAGGGAGTCCCCATAGACACGGCTGGATCTATCTCCTGCTGACTCAAAATGTACAGAGTTGCAACCTTCATCTAGCGCTGAGGCCTGAGGGTGCCACAGAAGATTTACCAAAGTCGCTCAGGAAACATGGAGCAAAGCCAATCTCAAAGTGCATCACCACAGTCACGGTGTAGCATGTCTCCCCCTTCCCCTTGGGTCTTTTCACAGGGCTCCAGCAGAGAATGTGTTTTAAAATTCCTTCTATCACTGAGCAAACCTCCCATTTCCTCACATATGGGAATTGCTCTTGACCCAAGCCATGAGATGACATGCCAGGTCTCATGCACTTTTCATCTCTCCATGGCCCAGCACTGAAAACCCGCTGATTGCCTAGTCAATCCAAGACTGGGGGGGGGTCTCTGGAGGCTTTCCAGCCTTGACTATAGCCAGTGTGATACAGTGACAGCGGTGGTCATGCTCCAACCAGTAGGTTGCACCAAAGACTTCTGAGGGCCTTTCCCACCAACATGGAACTTCTCTTCCATGCCTCTACACTGCCTTTATGTCTTCCTACAAGTTACTGGGCACATCAGCAGTTTGTCTTTCCCAATCAAACCTCAAGAACCATTTCCCTTCCCCAGGATCAGCTCTCCCTGGCAGAACTTTGTCTGTAAGGGCATGAGGAGACATTGACATCATGTCTCCCCTGCCTATTAAACTTTCTCCAGCTATTGCTGGGAACCTCCTCATAGGCAATGCTGACTCCCAGCAGTCTTTACAGGATGCATCAAGAAGAGGGACATGCAGTTCTGGGCTAGGGACTTCATCCCAAGGAAGGTGGGCATCTCATGAGTGGCACTCAGCTCTCCCACAAGCTCTTTTCCCATGCTTCAGCTGAGAGCTCCAGCTTCACCTCCCCAGTGTGCTCTCCCATGTGTTGAGGACCAGTTGCCAGGCTTCTCCAGAAAGATCCCCCTGCTCTTACACCTGCCTCCCAAATCTTGCAAACCACCCAGGGGGTTCCTTGACATAAAGAAACCAGAGTGACCTTGGAAGCCCATGGTGCAGCTTGCTGAGGGAAAGCTTTGCAAGCTTGGATTAGTTCCACAGACTTGTCAAGTATTCCAGGAATTTTGTAAGGTCTGATAAGCCCTCAGTCTCTGCTTTTCCACACATTCCCTGTGCCACCTTTGGAAAGTCATTCCCTCCCTCTGCACCTAGTGAAATTAAGCACATGCTTCCCCAGCCTTGTCTTCTCCCATCAGAGAGGATCCCTCTGCCCTTAGCAAGGCCTGGAGTTTTGCACCCCTCCAAAAACCGTGCTGCAAAAAGTGCAAACACATGGCTTCCCCCAGAGCAAGGATCTCCTGCCCCACCTGATCTCAACAGATTTGGCTCTCCTAAAGTTAGGGCTTCAGCCTCCAAATGTCTCCAGAGCTCTCCCCAGAGCCACATCAGATGGGACTGTGGGATACAGCAGCATCCTGAGAGAGCAGCAGTCCCACTGCAGAACCTAGTGCAGGTACAGGAGAGCAGTTTCAAGGCATTTGAGAAGCCTGGAACCTGATCCCTGCAGTCCTGGTTAGTCACAGCTTATTTCTAGCTCTCCTCAGTGCTGGTAGGACAGACTGGGAGACTGCCACCTTTGCCCACCACCCAGCCAGCCCTGGGGTTTCAGAACAGGCTGCATCTCCCCAGCCTTGGATGTCATCCAGAAAATCCCAGACCTGTGCACACACTGTGGACACCATGCACACAGGGACTGGTGATGTCTCCAGCTTTCCCACCTGGGGACGCCCCTGGGGCCAAATGCTCCAGTGGCCACCACAGTGCACAGCAGGGACTCCCTCCCCTTGTGGGACATAAGGGGTGCCTGCCTGTCCCCACGGTGTCCTGTGCCCATGCATGCAGGGACGTGCGTAGTCCCAACCCGCTCTGTCCTGTGGCTCTGTTCCCTCACACGCAGGGATATGCATGGCTCCATCGCACCCTGCAGGTGAGGACACGCATGACCCAGACCGCCCCAGTCCTCTATGCAGGCAGGGACATGGGTGGCCCCAACCTCCTAGTGCTCCATGCAGGTGTGTGCCCCAAGCAGGCAGGGGCACAAGTGGCCCTAACCCCTTGGTTCCCCATGCGGATGGGGACGTGTACCCCCATCTCACCCTGTGCCCTGTCCCCCAAGCAGGCGGGGACACCAGTAGCCCAGCACCCTGGTTTCCATGCAAGTGGGGAGGAAGGGGGGGCATATGGTCCCATCCCACCCTGTCCATCACACAGAAAAGTGTGGCCCGACTCCTTCTATTCCCCCCACGCATGGCCCCATCCCAACTTGTCCTCCAAGCAGGAGGAGACGAGAATAGCGCGACCTCCTGCCCCCTCCACTGGCGACAACACGCATAGCCCGACACCCCCCGCAGGTAGCAGTGTGCATGACCCTGGCTCCCGGTTCCCCACGCAGGGGTGGGTGGGACGCGCGTGGGCCCGATCCCCCAGCCTCCAAGCAAGAGGAGACACGCGTAGCCCTGATCCCCCAGACCCACCCTCCCGCCGCCCCCCACACGCGTGTCCGCGGCCCCCGGTCGCGGCGCTCACCTTGCGTGGCCGTGCAGCGGGCAGTGCGGCGGGGCGGGCCGCTCCTGCATTTACATAGGGCTCCGCGCCCGTGGCTGGCTATAAGAGCGCGGCGCGGGACGGTGCCACCCGAGTCCCGCCGCCGCCGCCGCCAGGTAGGTAGGAGGGGA